GAGTGCAGGGCCCAAGCACTTGGGCCATCCTCCACTGCACTCCTGGGCCACAGCAGAGAGCTGGACTGAAAGAGGAACAACTGGGACAGAACCGTCACCCCAACTGGGACTAGAACCTGGAGTACCAGCGCCGCAGGCAGAGGATTACTTTACTGAGCCGTGGCACTGGCCTATTTCATTATTTTCTAATTTATTTGGAAAGCAGAGTTAGAGGGATGAGAGAAATAGAGAAAGAGAGCAAGAGTGAGTGAGAGAGAGATCCTCCACCAGCTGGTTTACTCCCCAAATGGCCACAATGGTCAGGGCTGTGATAAGCCAAACCAGGAGGCTGGAGCTTCTTCTAGGTCTCTTACAAGCACTTGGGTCATCTCCCACTGCTTTCCCAGGTGCATTAAAGGGAGCTGGATCGGAAGTGGATCAGCTGGGTCTTGCAGCACGCCCAAGCAGGATGCCGGCATCACTGTGCCACCATGCCTGCCCCTGTCTGCCTTGCTCTGGATCCTCCCCTCCCTCTGGGTGCCCTGTACATGGTGACCAGCCTGCCTGCCCTCTGCACCGTGCTCCTCCTGACTTGTTCTCGCTGGTGCACATGCGTCTGTCCCTGGAGGCTGCCTGTGGGTTACCTCACCCCTTCGCTGGGTGCATCAGTGCTGCCCTTGCTGTATCCCTTCTCAGGGGGGTGCAGGGAGCCAATGCCCACCTCACACTGTGCCTTCAGAGTAGACTGGGGGTGAGCACCGTGGTGGTCTGCGGGTGTCGCAGGGAGCACTGGGAGTAGCCGAGCTCACTGCTGGCAGAAGAGGGGGCCCTGCCTTCTTCTTTCCTGATATTTTTTTTTTTTTTAATTTTTGACAGGCAGAGTGGACAGTGAGAGAGAGAGAGACAGAGAGAGAAAGGTCTTCCTTTGCCGTTGGTTCACCCTCCAATGGCCGCCGCTGCAGCCGGCGCACCGCGCTGATCCGATGGCAGGAGCCAGGAGCCAGGTGCTTTTCCTGGTCTCCCATGGGGTGCAGGGCCCAAGCACCTGGGCCATCCTCCACTGCACTCCCTGGCCATAGCAGAGAGCTGGCCTGGAAGAGGGGCAACCGGGACGGAATCCGGCGCCCCAACCGGGACTAGAACCCGGTGTGCCGGCGCCGCAAGGTGGAGGATTAGCCTATTGAGCCACGGCGCCGGCCCTTTCCTGATATTTCTGCTTTTCCTACCCTGTAATGGAGTTGATCTCACCTCTCGGTTTCTCACAGTACGGATGGCTGTGCAGAGTAGGGGTGACTCCTGTGCAACCAGGGTCAGCAGTCCAGTACCTCCTCTCGTTGGGAGTGGGTGGGAATGCTCGGCTATCCTGGCCTGTGGAGGTGAGACCATGGGAGGTGTGCAGTGTGTGAAAAGGCACCGAGGAGATCCTCAGGCCGTGGGCGCAGGGCAGTGTGGGAGCCAACTGCACTTAGGCAGGATCAACTCGGGTTGCATGTGCTGTGGGTTGTATGTTCTCGAGTGACAAGTCACGAAAGAAGAAGACTTCTTGTCACGTGGTATAAAGGATGTGTCCTGTCGTGGCTGTTAGCATTGACCTTGGTCACACGGCCGAGGCAGTGCTCTGCAGGCTTCCTCACCCTGTGGTTACTGCTGTCCTGTCACACGCCACAAGGCAGGAGGAAGCCGCGTCCTGACGCCATCTCATCCCTTCTGTTTTCTTCTGCACCTGCTCTCTGATGTTTGCTTGTTTTCCCAGGTGTCCCCAGGGCATCTTCACGCATCCATCAGCACTTCAGTGTGTATCTGAGAGTGCTGCACCTACACATCTCCCGATTGTTAGAGGTAGACGTTAGATGCGTTTCTCCCACTCCTGGAGGACACGCTTTCAAAAGCACTGCCCTGTGTGTGTCTCTGCTGTGCCTCATGCAAAATTCTCACATTTAACAAAAATTGCAGTAGTCTTACATTTCCTGCTCTGTCTCCTACTGAACTGGTCACATTCTGTTTTTACTGAAACTTCTATTTTTTATTTGCTTTACACTTTTTTATTGAAAAACAGTTGCAGATAAAGTAATTCATATTTTCCAGATCCTATTTCCCTTTCTCTCTCCTCAGAGATATTCAGTCACATTTTCATATTTATTGCCTTAAAATGTACCTTTAAATATCTCAGAGCATTATTTTCTTTTTTTAAAGATTAATTTCATTAATTTATGTGAAAAGCAGAGTAACAAAGAGAGACAGAGATTGTTCATCTGCTGGTTCACCCTGTACAATGCGTGCAACACAGGGCTGGGCCAGGCCGAAGCCAGGAGCCAGGAGCTCCATCTGGATCTGTCACGTGGGTGCAGGGGCCCAAGCATTCTGGCCATCTTCTGCTTTCCCAGGCTGTGAGCAGGAGCCAGGAGCCTTTTCTGGATCTGCCACATGGGTGCAGGGGCCCAAGCCCTTGGGCTGTCTTGCGCTGCCTCCCAAGTGCATTAGCAGGGCGCTGGATGGGAAGCAGAGAAGCTAGGACTGGAATCGGTGCTCTGATATGAAATGCTGGTGTTGCATGGCAGCAACGTAACCCACTGCACCACAATGCTGGCCCTAGAGCATTATTTTAGACTTTGTTGATGGCTTGGGAAAGCTGTGGAAGATGGCCCCAGTACTTGGGCACCCATGTGGGAGACCCAGAAGAAGCTCCTGGCTCCTGGCTTAGGGTCAGCTCAGCTCTGGCTATTGTGGCCATTTGGGGAGTAAACCAGTGGATGGAAGACCTCTTTCTCTCTCTGTCTCTCCCTCTGTCTGGCTTCTCAAGTAAATAAATAAATCTGAGAGAGAGGCAGAGAGAGAGAGAGAGAGAAAGAGAGAGGAGAGAGAGAAAGATTCCTCTTCCAACCTAGGAAAATCCCTCTCTATTCTCTCCCTGGAGAACCTCAAGTGACAAGTGCCATGCCATGTACTGGAGCTGGGTATGGACTCCCAGAGGCTGAGAGGGGCTGAGCAGCAGGGCCAGGCTGGGCCCCCTCCGTTTGTTACCCTTTGAGCCCAGTCTTGCTTTCCAGTTGCTTCTCTACAAGGCTGTGCATTCTTCACTGAGTCTAAGCCTTAAAACACACGGCTGTGGGGCCGGCGCCGTGGCCCAGTAGGCTAATCCTGCGCCTGTGGTGCCAGCATCCCATATGGATGCCGGTTCTAATCCCAGCTGCTCTTCTTCTGATCCAGCTCTCTGCTATGGCCTGGGAAAGCAGTGGAAGATGGCCCAAGTCCTTAGGTTCCAACACTTGCATGGAAGACCCAGAAGAAACTCCTGGCTCCTGGCTTCAGATCGGTGCAGCTCGGCCATTGCAGCCATTTGGGGAGTGAACCATTGGATGGAAGACCTTTCTGTCTCTCCCTCTCACTATCTGTACTCTACCTTTCAAATAAATAAAAAAAAATCTAAACAAAACAAAACAAAAAAAACATGGCTCTCTCTGGGTCTTTGGGACATCCTTTCTGACCAAAAGTTTAAATCATGTAAATTTCTTATTAAACAAATTTATCATGTTTTTGTTTTGCTAACCTGTCTTCTGTTGCACAGATACCGGCCACGACCCTTGTGACGGGTGGGAGAAGTGCCCCACTTTTCCCCCCCACGGTCTCTTAGGAGGCAGACTTTCTTTTTTTTTTTTTTTAAGGTTTTTTTTTTTAATTTGACAGGTAGAGTTACAGACAGTGAGAGAGAGAGACAGAAAGGTCTGCCTTTCGTTGGTTCACTCCCCAAATGGCTGCTATGGCCGGAGCTACGCCAATTGGAAGCCAGGAGCCAGGTGCTTCTTCTTGGTCTCCCGTGCGGGTGCAGGAACCCAAGCACCGGGGCCATCCTCCATTGCCTTTCTGGGCTACAGCAGAGAGCTGGACTGGAAAAAGAGCAACTAGGACTAGTACCGGGTGCCCATATGGGATGCCGGTGCCACAGGTGGAGGATTAGCCTAGTGCACCATCGCGCCGGCCCCAGGAGGTAGACTTTCAGCAGAGGCACATCTTTGCCAGGGGACTCAGTCTCAGTTAAAACATGTTCTCCTGCGTCCTTCCAACACGCAGCCTTCCCCGCCCCATTCACTTCCAAAACCAGGAAAGGTTCCCAATATTGGGAACAGAGAGGTCTGAGGGCAGCCATTCCCAGCCCCCGCCTTCCTCCTGGGGGAAGAACACAGCCCCAGCCCGTTCCTCTGCCTGGCTCTGTTGGCCAGCCCCTGACTGCAGTGTCTAACCCCAGCCCTGGGAAGTGGGTGAGGGGAAATGAATCTTCCTGGGTGCATGGCTGAGAAGGCAAGGCCTGCTTCTGGCTCCTTAAGGATGGGGTCTTTTGGAGGGAAATTAAAAACAAAAACGCTCTAATTGTACCCCAAGGTTATTTTTTCTCTGAAATCTAATTCTGTGGGACAGCACCTTGAACACGGATCATCACGGGACTTCTATAGCTTTACTCAAACCCTTTCAGTTCTGGGGAAACAGATGTGGCATCTTGCAAGTTAGCAGCTTCCCCTGCCATCTGCATCTATTGCCGTACCTCACCCAAGAAAATATCATGTGGGAATAATGGCACTCTCATTTCATTATGATTTCATGTATTTTCCTGTCCTAGTTCTTACACCCCAGATTTACAAGGTGATACAAAAATCTTACAAAGAACGAGAACTTGGAGTTTTAGTTATGCACGCTTCACACTGAGTATGTGTCCCTAATGTTATAAACAAAACTCAAAAGAAAACCCATGTCAATGTACGACTATTTTGCTTGGACAAGCTAGTTTGCTTATATCAAAAACTCCTGTTCCCCTCCTGCATGAGAAAGGAGAGCTCCTGCACCCAGTGTTTCCCTTGATAGGTCTGATTTTGTCTTCCAGGTGTTTCCCCTTTGTTTTCTCCCCCCTGGAACCAAAGAAGCATCCCTGTCACTCTGTGGTGCACTTGGAGCCATGATCAGAACACCTGCCATGCTGCAGGAATGGAGAGCCCTGCAGTCTGGGGGCCGGCACACAGCACACCTCCCCATCACACCGTGGGGAGTTTACCTCCTTTCCACTTTCTCAGCAGACTCTCCCTCACCTCCTTGTTCCGGAGCGTGTAGATGAAGGGGTTGAGAACGGGGGTCACCACGGTGTTCAGGATGTGGATGGCCTTGCTCAGGTCCAGGGCATCCTTGATGGAGGTTCGCACATGCAGGAAGATGGTGGACCCGTACCACAGGAGGACCACAGTGAGGTGGGAGGAACACGTGGAGAAGGCCTTGCTCTGGCCACTGGCCGAGGGGATCCTGAGGATGGTGCTGATGATGTAGACGTAGGAGACCAGGGTGATGAGGCATGAACTCAGGATGACCACACAGGCGATCACGAAGGCCACGATCTCCACGGCTTGTGTGCTGGAGCAGGCCAGGGCGATCCAGGGCGCGATGTCGCAGAAGAAGTGGTTGATGGCATGGGGGCCGCAAAAGGACAGGCTGCTGACGAGGGCAGTGGGTGCCACGATGGCCAGGAAGCCACAGGCCCAGCAGCCCAGGGCCAGCCTCAAGGAGAGCAGGCTGCTCATGATGGCCCCGTAGTGCAGCGGGTAGCAGACAGCCAGGTAGCGGTCGTATGCCATGACAGCCAGGAGGAAGTACTCTGTGCAGCCTAAGGAGAAGACCAGGTACATCTGCAGGAGGCAGCTGGGGAACCCTATGTCCTGGCTCCTCCCCAACAGCACGGCCAGGGCTTTGGGGACTACGGCGGTGGTATACCAGATCTCCAGGAAAGAGAGGTTGCTCAGAAAGAAGTACATGGGAGTGTGTAACTGGGGGGCGGTACCCACGAGCACCAGGATGGCCACATTCCCACCCACTGTGAGGACATACATCACGAGGAACAATGAGAAGAGGGACAGCTGGAGGGCCTGGGGCCCCGGGAAGCCCAGCAAGACAAAGTCCTGGGCTAGTGTCTTGTTGTCTGCGTCCATGATGCGTCCCTGTCTCTCAGTCCTAGAAAGATGTTGACTCGTGAACAAGTGCCAGCCAGCAGCTGGATGCACACAGAGTCTCCATGGGATTTGCCAAGTGCCTGCACTGTATTAAGAGGCAGAAGGCGTGGACACCACCTGTTTGATGACGCATGGAATCAGGTGCTGTCATAGCGGATTAGCAGTTTAGGGAAGTAATGGGCAAAGAATTTTACACTTCAGGTCCAATATTGAAGTCCAGCCTGTGCCTCCATCATCCTACGTCAAACACAACCCAATGCTGTCATAAAAGTACAACCAAACCCACAAAGCTGGTCATTCCATGTTGACTCCGTTCTTCATATTTTAACCAGATTCCGCACGACCTTTGAATATAAGCACACAATTTTGTCTTCATTCAGAACTCTGTCTGGTTTCACTTGTGTGTGAGAGTCATGACTTCCAAATTGATTTTCTAATGTACAATCTCTGTCTTCAAAAAGAACGTGGAAAAGTGAACTAAAAGAATTTAAAAAGTAATCAGTTTCAGAATGATGCTTTGGCTCCTCGGATCCTGCCCCTTTTGTGTTTAAGTTCACGGCTGTGGTCACTCCTCTCACATAAACGGTCTGTGTCCCCACATGGGGCGGGACCCTCCTGCACCAGCTTGCTGCACCAGGCACCTCCTGGTGCTCACTTGGAACTGGTGTGCTGAGTGCAGCTGGGCAGAGCATCGCTTTGAAACCAGGCCCCATGGTTTGTTTCTGAACACCACCTTTGGGGGCGACATACTCTGCACATTCAGAGAGCAGTGGAAAGCTCTTCTGCTGTTGTTACCGCAGGTGACTGGAGCCTGCATTTGGAGGCAGATGCTGGAACCAGAGGCTGGTGCCTTCCTGCCAGACTGTCTGTCAGGTGTAAGGGCATGCCCACTGTCCACACCCTAGGATCAGGCCTAGGACACACCCACTGTCCACACCTAGGATCAGGCCTAGGACACGCCTACTGTCCACACCCTAGGATCAGGCCTAGGACATGCCCACTCTCCATCCTCCTGCTCCCTCTCCCCAGCACCAAAGGTCATGGTTGGTCAGGCACATACCCTGTGTCAACAGCACCTGACTACAGGGTGGTCCACACAGCACGGGTCTGGGGGGTCTGACCCTTGCATTTTGAACCTGCTGTGGTCAGAGACCTTTCCCCCAATAGGTTCCTATGCTGCCTATCAGCAGCTTCAAAAGTGATAGTTTAATTTATCTTCAAAAAGAAATCTATGTTCAAAGTACTTTTGAAACTCCACTACTAGAAATGATTCTATCTTAACCTTCATAAGCTATGTGAAACAAAACCATTATATTCATCTTTCCATTTTCAAAACTTAAAATCCAATTTGATTACTAAAATTAGATAATAAATAGAATGTTTATTACTTAATAATGAAATGATATTTTCAGACTTTATTTTCAGTTAAGCTGCTTAGTTTGTCAGACACCCTGGGGTGCGATTTATTTGAAGTGTATGGTGCTTGTGATGGGACCTGTGTGGCTCAGTCATTTCTGTATCAATTCTAAGACTTAGTAAAAGTTAAAAAAAGAAGATTTCTTTAGATAAATAAAGTTTCTATTTTTAAAATTAATTACCAGATTCACCTACTTTATAAGAGATAGACTGATCATTCAACAATTTACCTATCAAGTACAGTAAGTCATGTTAATTTCTTATATGTGAACACATATATGTTTTTCATGGAAATAGGCAGCGTCTATAACACAGCTGCATGTAGACTGCTTCTGACTCACAGGAGAGTCAGGGCATTGATCCAGGGCTGTGGGGATCTACTGAGGAGCGCGGATCTGTGCTCACAGAACTGCTCACTGATCTCACCTTGGATGGAATCTGTCAGCAAAAGACTCACCCGGTTGCGGTCCTTTCTGCCACAAACCCCACGGACTCCACAAGCTGCGTCTTTCGAGCTCAGCCTTGGTTACCTCCTTTTTTCATTCCATGGCTTTCTTCATTTGAACATATTGTGCACTGACTGCTGTCGTGCCTGCCTTCCTCATTCCTCTCTAGACGGCCTTCACTCTCTGGTCATCTCAGCCCTCCATGACCTCTGCCACTCTTCTGCCTCCTTTGTCCTTCTGATGAGGCCCCAGCCTCCCTGTGGTCTCCACTCCCCTTCCTTACATCTTCTCTTCCTCACCCTCAGCTCCACATGGAGAATACTGTGTGATCGAGTAATTGCCAAGAGCGGATGGATCTTCTGGGAGAAGGGCTCTCTCCGGGATACTCAGGCTGGCATGAAGATGTGACCTGTGTTAACTCTTTCTAGTGGGTGACAGAATCTCTTGATCCTTGGATTTAAAGGCCTGGATTGTGAAGTCTGCGGCACAGGAAAGGAATGTCTCTTGGGTTCTGTGCATGGTAACCTGGGCCTTTTGCCTGGCAGAGAGCTTCAGCCGAGCAAATGTAAAAGGAGTCCAACAGATGTGTGAAGAAGTCTTTAAAACGAATCCAATTACCTTAAATAAAAGCATAAGAAACAAAAGGCATGGTGCAACTGGAAATTACAAAGTAGCCCAGCATTAAAGAGGAAGTAGCAGAGCAAGGGAGAAAAAAAGACAGCTAAACATAGATTAGGGAACAGTTTCTCCTGAGGACACCATGCAGTTAAGTGCCATGTGATGACGCCTTCTTTAAGTGATTACTACCTCCTTCCTGAGAAACTCTCTTCTTTAGAATCTTAGACATCAGGAATTTTGTGGATTTGGAGTGTATGAGTGAGAATAAAATTTCCCATCCTGTGGGCAGCACCTGCTCCCATTGGTGCAGATGCACATCTCACTTTCCACCCCAGCCCCAGAGCTTCAGGGATGGAGCTTTTGAAGGCCAATTCCTGGTTCATCACGACTTTGTAGTTCCTAAGGAACCAAAACATGTAGGTCTGGTTCACAGTCCAGATCTGGTGTTGGCACGTGACCCTGAGCCTGAGCACACTCCTTTCTTTAAATTTCACATCAACTGCACCCATCACCAAAGCCCAAGAAAGCCCAATCCCTTACTTTCTCTAAGAAGGCGCCCCATGATCTTTGGGGCTCACCATACCCCTTGTGGCCTGGGTGGACAAACCTCACCCTGCTGGACCATAGGGCGCCCGTTGGTGGTCTTAGGATAGGGACGGGACAGAACAGTAGGAATCTGGAAGTGTTTCCTGAACTCCAGAATCACTTGAAAGCTTTCAAATTGTTGTGAACAGTTGACTTTTACTCTCAAGATGTTGATGATTGCGCATTAGGAAGCCACCAGGACTGAAAACACCAGGCGAAGTGATCCAAGGGAGAAAGCACGAAAGACTTCCCAGCTCCCCTTAATGCTTATTTCTAACAACTTTAGTGTGAGAGTGTTTGTGTGAAATAATCTGAACCTCTACAGTACCCCACACATGCTTCATCAGAGCAGGCTTACTTTCCAAGTGTTGGAAACAGCTAGTCGGCGCTGCCGCTCAGATTAGAGGCAGGCTGCCATCGAGGATCAGGGACTTCAAGAGGCTTCAGAAGAGGGAATCTGAGACTATTTCCAGAGGAAGCACACCATCCTTCGTAAAGACGAGGTACTTAGGTTTTGTGTGTGCATCTCTAGTGAATGGCCCAGGCCAGAGAGCCACGAGGAGGGAGAGCTCCAAGAGCATCTTAGCATCAAGGGAGGGCGTTTGAATGTAACAGAGGAACTGCTGACGTTCCAAGGTCAGATATCTGTGAAGGGACCCGTGTGGATCACGACTGTTTCTCAAGATTTCCCACGACTCAGTTTTGAGATGTTCTATTCCTGGAATGTTCACAATGAGAAGACTTAAACCTTTATGTTGCAAAACTGTGTTTGATACTGGAGAGGTCTCATTACTCTTAAATGGAGCTGGCTTTTGTAAACACTCCTGAGGGCAATGGGCTGCAGAAACAGATGTCTCTGCTCCATTCCATGGAAACCGGCTGTGTCTGGTCTTGGCACAGTTGCTTGCAGAGTTAGCGTGCTTTGCTTTCCACGACTGCTTTCCTGAGGGTTTCCCCCATGCGGGCTTTCCCTGGTGTCTACGGGTCAGGATTTGGTGCTGTCGCAGGTGTGGGCTTCGTTTACTTGGTAATGAGCACTCCAAGAAGGGCTGCAGGTTGACAACCTTTGTTTTCACTATTTTTTTTTAAATTATTTTATTTATTTGCAACAGTTACAGAGAAAGGCAGAGCCAGAGAGAGAGGTCTTCCATCCACTGGTTCACTCCTCAAATAGCCGCATCTGCCAGAGCTGAGCTGATCCAAAGCCAGCAGCCTGGAGCTGCTTCTGGGTCTCCCACGTGGGTGCGGGGGCCTAAGCACTGAGGCCTTCTGCTGCTGCTTTCCTGGGCCATAGCAGGGAGCTGGATTGGAAAGTGAAGCATCTGGGACATGAACCGGTGCTCATAAGGGATGCCAGCATCACAGGCATCATGGGTTTAACCTACAGCACAATAGCATGGGCCCCAACAAAATCTTAATGCTTGTCCTTAGAACCTCTCACTGTGAACAATGAAACAAATTGTTTTTGAAGGCATTGTTGTAGGAATTTGGAAGTTAAGAGCTTTTTGCTTCTGTATTTGTTTGCTTTGGCCTCTGATAGGTCTTACTAGCATCAGAGGAACTTTTAGCTAAGTCCTAAAAAAACATTTTGGCTACTAGATGTATAGGTAGCAAAATGCTCTTTGTCTACCACATAATCCCAAGAAAATATATAACCAGTAAACTTTGATTTCTCTTACACAGAGAGTCAATGGGATAATTGAAATGTAGAGAATCAAATGAGATTTTATTTATTTGTACTTCTGTTTTATTATGATTATTAATATTCTCAAACTATTGACTTTTATTTTCCTGAATATGGCCAAGTGGAATTGTGTCGAAGTGAAATTTCAAAATGAATTGAAGTGGTGTTTGTATTAGGGGACACTGATTTTTACATCTAGGGCCAATAAGGTCTGAAATCTCTGGTTTCAAATAACAGCAATTTCCTTGAATCATGGGCGTATTGACTTGATATTAAATGTGACTTGAAAATATAATTATAATTATTGCATACTTACTATATGTGAGTTATTTTGTATAATTTTGCTGTGCTCTAATATTTCCTATTTTTAACTTTGAAATAGCGCCAGCCTCCCTGAAGCTTTGAGAGAACATTGTGCAGAATTCTGATGACCTTTGCCCTGATGACCCTTCCTTAACCATTGTGCTGCAGTTCAGGCAGCAGAAGCAAGACATTGATGCTGATAGAGTCATTGTGTCTAATGTCGTCCATATTCTCTGGAAATAACTGCTTTCATTTGGAGAAGACTGGTTTTTATGTCACACTGAGTGGGAAAACTGTATCAATAGCACAGGAAATACCTGGTCCCGGACCAGTGTTGGGGCCAGCATTTGGATGCAGTGGGTTCAGCCACCGCCTCAAGTGCTGGCTGTTCTGCTTCTGACCAGCTCCCTGCTAATGTACCTGGGAAAGCAGCAGAAGATGGCCCGAGTGCCTGGCCCCTGCCACCTACATGGACGACATGGATGGAGTTCCAGGCTCCTGCCTTTGGCCTGGCCTAGCCCTGGCCATTGTAGCCATTTGGGGAATGAACCTGTCTTTCAAATAAATAAATTAATCTTTTTTAAAAAAGAAAAAAAGAGAACTATCTGACCCCCCACCCACAAGTAAGCCCCAGCTCCTCTTACTGATGCATCTCAGTCCACTCTGCAATGACTGATTTCCTCATCAAGAGCGCAGTTTGAGTGAATCAAGTGCCTGAATTATATCAGGGGGAGGACCGAGCATAGTCACGTTCTGTATCAAAGTCCAGGGTTTTGTCGCCTGCCTTTTCATTGGTTGAAGCAAATCTTGAAGGTGTTGGCAGGGGCCTTGGTGCTGTCTCCGTGCTGTGTCCTTGCTTCTCTCGTTATCTCTCAGTGTACATCACTTTATTGCTTTGGCCAGCCTTGTTTTAAAGGGACTACAAAGAGGCGATTTACCCAGTGGCCTCTAACTTAAACTCCTCTGCCCTCCCAGGCCAAAAGTAGCCCAGTCCTGAGGTCATCTCCGCTGTGCAGATCCCTTAACAGGTGTCACTGCTTTGCATGATGCCCTTCTTATGTCTAGTTCAAAACACTCCAGAAATTTTCCAAAACACTCTAGGAATATGCACCAGCCTTGTGTTTCCAGAACACATGAATTACAGAAATAAGTTGTGAGCCAGGGAAACTAAGACAGTATGGCTTGCAGCTCACTTTGATGTTCAACGGTGAGAGTTTGGTGCCACAAGGGTAGACGGCAGAAATATGCAAATAACCAATGTCAAATAATTCACAGAGACAGTTTCAAATTTAAGACTATTTATTAAATAGAAATTAAACCTATCAAATTGTATTGCTTTCAAGAATTTTTTTTTTAAATTAAGAAATTCCCTACTGGGAATGCAAGCATCTTTTTTTTAATGGTCAGAAAGCAAATTCTGTCTTCTCATAACTGCACCATTCCTGGTTGTGTGAGGCAAGCACAGTTTTTGCTATGTGGATGTGCAGTGAGAATCGTCCCATCTGCCACCCACTATCACCACTCTCAACATTGTCATTGTGTGGTTAGCCAAGGGCACCTGCTGCCCACATACTCCACTCACAGACTCTCTTAAAGCTTATCCTGAGGGCTGGGCCAGAGCAGTCCAAGATGGCCGACTTCGAGGATCGGGTGTCGGATGAGGAGAAGGTATGCATAGCTGCTAAATTCATCACTCATGCACCCCCAGGAGAATTTAATGAAGTATTCAATGATGTCCGACTACTACTTAATAATGACAATCTCCTCAGGGAAGGGGCAGCACATGCATTTGCCCAGTATAACATGGATCAGTTCACGCCTGTGAAGATAGAAGGATATGAAGATCAGGTCTTAATTACAAAGCACGGTGACCTGGGTAATAGCAGATTTTTAGATCCAAGAAACAAAATTTCCTTTAAGTTTGATCACTTATGGAAAGAAGCAAGTGATCCCCAGCCAGAGGAAGTAGATGGAGGCTTGAAGTCGTGGAGAGAATCCTGTGACAGTGCTTTGAGAGCCTATGTGAAAGATCATTATTCCAACGGATTCTGTGCTGTGTATGCTAAAACTATAGATGGGCAGCAGACTATTATTGCATGTATTGAAAGCCACCAATTTCAGCCTAAAAACTTCTGGAACAGTCGTTGGAGATCAGCCTGGAAATTCACCATGACACCACCTATAGCCCAAGTGGTTGGAGTGCTTAAGATTCAGGTTCACTATTTCGAAGACGGCAATGTTCAGTTGGTTAGTCATAAAGATGTACAAGACTCAGTAACTGTGTTGAATGAAATACAAACTGCCAAGGAGTTTATTAAAATCATAGAGAATGCAGAAAATGAATATCAGACAGCAATTAGTGAAAACTATCAAACCATGTCAGACACCACATTCAAGGCCTTGCGCCGGCAACTTCCAGTTACCCGCACCAAAGTCGACTGGAACAAGATACTCAGCTACAAGATTGGCAAAGAAATGCAGAATGCTTAAAGGCTTAGATTCTTCAGTATGTGGAACAAAAAGGATTCAACGTGTGGCCATATGATAAATAAGTGGTTTATAAACAAGAATGATATTTTGCTAGGGCTTTCAAAGTTAACAGTTTTTGAAGTACTGTTGAACCTACAGCATTGTCTTAATTTCTTTTGTGTTCTCTGCCTTGTAATTTTCTGTTACCACTATATCTACTTGTAAATCTTTTTTCTCCCTACATTTAATGTTGGAGAGAGAAATCTATCCTGAAGTCATATTACTGTTTAGAAAATTTTCTTAGCCATGAAGCCCTGTTACTGATTTAGACAGATAATATGTTCAGTACTTTTTTACCCCTATCCTTCAAAGCACTCTGGTACCTGGTACTTCAGTGTTTTTTTCTGATCCACCAACAGCTTAAGGGGCTACACTACAAACTCTAGTTAAACGGAAGACACATTCGTCCTTCTCCTTCTGACTGCGTTGATCATTTACAGCATCTCATAATGGCAGTTTGCAAAAGTTTGAATTGGGGCTTTTCAGATCCTTTTTGAGGGACAAAGAAGGTTTTCTGGAAATTCCATTATAGCCAGCTTCTCTGGGGAACTTGTTTTTAAATCCAAAGACTTGAACCACATTCCCTGCACATGAACTTGTTTCCTTTGTTTCCTCTTCGCTCATTGTCTCCTTTCCAGCTAGTCCCATTGTAGTTATAGACATCTGTATTTTTAGAATGGTTTTACGCATTTATGTTTTTTTATTGAAGAACTGCTGACCGACTGTGGATATAATAGTGTATAAAACTTGAAAAATGCAGATATTGAAGGATAATAATTATCTTGTGCTTTAATACTTTGTGGCAGGATTGTACTATAAGCAAATGACTCAACTACGTAATTCACAAACATGAAAAATGAACCAAAGTGAAAAGGATAACTTCCAGGCAGTATCTTTCTATTGTAACCTGTTATTTAAGGGAATACTAGTGATTTCTTCTAAATAGGATGTAATACTTGTTTCAAATTACTTTTCCTCAGTCCTGCCTGCCAAGAACACAAATGTAACTGTGATCTAGCAACCATTCCCAGGTATATTGGCAGGTATATGTATGATCTCAGAATACACAGGTGACATAGATATGATATGACAACTGATAATGGTGGACTCATTTACATTGTTTACACTTCTATGACCAGGCCTTAAGAGAAGGTCAGTTTTTTAAGAAACCAAGTAGTGTCTTCCTGCCTGTCTCCAAATACATGTAAAAAAAAGAAGGGTGTTTGTGCTTCAGCATTGTTTTTGCTCAGAAATACCGTCAAGCAAGAGTTTGTTTCCAAGTGATTCATTGAGCTGTGTAAGCATTTTTGTTTATTTCAAATAAAAGATATTTGTATTTTTTGTTATTCATACTATCCATCCATACCACACTATCTTCTGTATCAGGTAGTCCAATAGAAATATACCTGTTTTTTTCTAAAAAAAAAAAAAAGCTTATCCTGAATGTAATGTTTGAAAGCATACAACTGAGGAAATGACTATTTAGTTAATCAGTATTTTAGATCATGGAAACTTTGTTCCTAATACAAACAAGTGAAAGGAAAAATAATGACAGATTTGGAATTATTTGTTTTCATTTTAAATATCGTAAGGGTAAAATGAAGGGAAAAACACTAACAGGAATTGTGTAAAAACTATTTAAATTTTGAAACAATCCTAAAATCATCCAGAATGGAAAAGAGTCTTGTACTGCCAAACATGAACATGAAGTGAAAAAAACAGCACTGCAAGCCTGGGGTCTGTCGCAGTGGACACAGTACATGAGAGACTTGCACAGTATTGGGAATTGCTGAGCTAAACTTCAAGCATTAAGACCCATGTAATATTCCAAAAGGTGACATCCTGCCTAGCAGCAAGAGTGATGTAAAAGGTATCTGATAACTTGAGACATGTGTAAAACCACATCATCTGATAGGCGTTAGCAACTCTCAGAATCATCGACATGCAGACATTGACACCTTTGGTGTCAGCTTCCCACTGCAAATTTTGTCCAAGGCTGCTTTCACATCCCTGTTTCTCAGGCTGTAAATAACGGGATTCAGACTGGGAGGTAGCAGAGAGTATAACACTGAAATAAAGACATTCAGTGATGATGGGGATGTTGAAGTTGAGCCTAAATATGCAATAAACCCGGAGGAGAGGAACAAGGTCACCACAGTAAGATGAGGCATGCAGGTGGAGAAGGCTTTGAGCCTGCCCAGTGCAGAAGGAATTCTTAGGACAGTGGTGAAAATGCGAACATAGGAAACAAACATTAAAATAAAACACATGGAAGCAAAGTAACAGCTGGCAATAATAAATACCTGTTCTAGAATTTGCTCTCCAGAACACGCATGGGTAAGCAATGATGGAATATCACAGAAAAACTGATGAATAACATTGGACCCACAGAAGTGGCCTGAGAATGTGCCTGCTACATGAAGGGACCCATACATACACCCGCTGAGCCACGAGACAGTCACCATCTGCACGCAGGTGCGACTACTCATGATGGCCTCATAGTGCAGAGGGTGACAGATGGCGACATAGCGGTCATAGGACATCACCAGAAGGAGGGCATACTCTGTGCCAGCGAGAGCAATCACGAGGAAAATCTGTGAGGCGCATCCCAGGAAGGAGATGGAACGACTGTTGGTCAGAGAGTTCATGATGGATTTGGGGAGAGTGACAGAGACATAGCAGATGTCAATCAAGGACAGATTCTTCAGGAAGAAATACATGGGTGACTGGAGATGCTGATCCAGAGTGGTGAGGGTGATGATGAGGAGGTTCCCCATCAGGGCTGCCAGGTAGATCAGCAAGAAGAGGGTGGCACACAGCACCTGCAGCCCCCAGTCCTCAGGGAGCCCCAAGAGCAAGAATTCTGTTATGGTGGTCCTGTTTGCCACTGTCTCAGCCATGCTGACCCCTGCCTGTGGATACATAGGAAAAATGATGATTGTCTTATCCACAAATATATTCAAAATCTGTTTTTTTAATTGTTGCTTTTAGTTCTATGGTTGATGGATTCTCTTCTATTCTCGGAGACATTTTCATGGTCAAGGTATTACAGAGTAAATCACAACTTGCTAACTCTAATGTTTCAGTTTGCAAACAATGTACTTTATTGAGGCAGTTATGAAGAGTAGGCTGGGCCACTTTACCATGTGATGGTCTAAACTGGAGGCAAACCAAAAAAGATTGCCTAAGCTTCCCATAAATGAAGATTTCCTCCGACTTCGTGGGAATTCGTGAAAATTGCCAGGGAAATTTTGGATCCAGGAGAGAAGTGAATTATTAGTCATACTTGGAAACTGTTTAAAAGTTGAAAAAGCATTAGAAAGAATTTTGACGGGGACCTGAACTGTGGCATAGTGGTTAAAGCCGCTGCCTTCAATGCTATAGGTGCTATCCCATATAGGTGCCGGTTTGTGTCCTGGCTGCTCCACTTCCAATACAGCTCCGTGCTAATGGCCTGGGTAAAGCAGCAGATGATGGCTCAAGTCCTTAGACCCATGCACCTATGTGGGAGACACGGATGAAGCTCCTGGTTCCTGGCTTCCTCTTGGGCTAGCTGATTGTTGTGGCCATCTGGGGAGTGAACCCAGTGGATGAAAGATCTCTGTCTCTCTTCTCTTCTCTCTCTCTCTCTCTCTCTCTCTCTCTCTGTATATGTGTGTGTGTGTGTGTTTCCCTCTCTCTGTACCTCTGAATTTCAAATAAATAAATAAATCTTTAGAAAAAGCAACAAGAGAATTTTGACAGTGTATTTTCCTGCTTGTCATTTTAGCTGCAGTATGTGAGGGAAGGGAGAGAAGGCAGAGGAACAGGTTCTTTGCAACGCTGTTTGAGCCAACGGCTGACAGATTGCATGATCCTGACCTGTATCCTTCACATGTCAAGGTCATCCCTGGACCACTGATGTTTTCATGGAGTGTCTAATGAAGGAAGTAATATGTGATCTCGCTTTATAAAATAAATAGTTTGTGCAGTACCCACACATTCTACTTGGTCCATCAGTTTTTTAAGAAGAAATTGACTTGAGAACAGCTTTATCATCTTCCCTGGATCTAGTAAACAACGTTAAAATGCAGTCTTGCCTTTTATTCCTGAAGTTGAGTGAAATGTCAAAAGGTCAGGTAGGTTTTCCTACCTAAGACACACACTGAGAGCTAGAGTGACACAGGTCAACTTCTGGAGGAGGGGTCAGGCTTAGGGCAAATCCATTACCTGATAAAGCATCGCTTTCCTGAATTTCAGGGGCACATCGTTGAAAGCACTGCAGTCCTCCAAGGCAAGGATGAGTCTGAGGAAGGAAGCTGGATGAGGGGAACTTTGGTTCTGCAGGATGGTGACGTCCTGTCTGCTGCCAGGGTGCTCACTGAGCTTCTGTCTTCTCTGCTTTGGCAAGCACAGGTCCAACGAAGACACTTATGTGGCTCTTGAATCTTTTGGGGCAGTAACAGTTGACTAATTAGATGAGGGTTAATTAAGTTCTATGGCCAAGGTTTCTGTTGCTGTTTTGTGAGATCATTACAGGTGCTGAGGCTGGGGAGTGTAAACATTAAGGTCTATGTTTGAGGAACCGTTACATCCGGTGGGTTTTCCTATGGTAAGACTAATCTCACTGATGGCAGGCCTGCCATTGATGGGCTGCTGTGATGCCACACTCTCAGGTAATGAAATAATTTGAATTCACAAACTCACAAAACTCGTATCAGGCAAAAGTAGTTTGCTATTTGTCTAATTATAGGCAAAATACAATTTATAGGCCAAATATAAATAGAAACTATGCAAGATATACCTTTTTCATTTGAGATCTTAATTATTTGAGTCTTCCTTTTTTTTCTTAATCTAAGGATCCTAATTTATTTATCTTTTCAAAAATCCACTCTTAGTTTCCTTGAAATTTCATATTGTTTTTCTAATGTCTATTTTGTTTATCATCTTTGTTGTTTATTATTCCTTTCTACTAACTTTGGGCTTAGTTAGTACTTCTTTTTACTAGTTCTCTGAGGAGTAATGTTAGGTTAATCTTTTGACACCTTTCTTCCTTTTTGATGCAGGCATTTCTGCTATAACTTTTCTCTGAAAACTAACACTGCTGTATTCCAAGGTTTTAATATGTTGTGTTTCCATTTTTGTTTGTCTCAGAATATTCTCTTTTTTTAAAGATTTATTTATTTATTTGAAAGTTAGAGTTACACAGAGAGAGGAGAGGCAGAGAGAGAGAGAGAGAGGGGTCTTCCATCCACTGGTTCACTCCCCAATTGACCGCAACGGCCAGAGCTGCACCCACCCAAACCAGGAGGCAAAAGTATCTTCTGGGTCTCCCACATGAGTGCAGTGGCCCAAGGCCTTGGGCCATCTTCTACTGCTTTCCTGGGCCTTAGCAGAGAGCTGGATTGGAAGTGAAACATCCGGGACTTGAACCAGTGCCCATATGGGATGCCGGTGCTTCAGTCCAGGGCTTTAACCTGCTGAGCCACAGAATGTTCTTTCTCAGATATCTCCAAACATGCAGCTGGTCTCAGAAGTGAGGTTGATGCTGGGGAATTCTGAGAAAGAGAGCTCTGGAAGTTATGCATATACACAAAGGCAAAAAGAGTGTATCAAAAGTAAAATCTGGTCATAAGCTTAAGCATTTTGTAAATTTCTCAAAGGGAGAAAAAGGCAGGGATAATTCAGTTATCCTGTCAGATTGCTAAAGGAGATAATGGGGGATTTTGCATAATTCACATTTATGTGCAAATTAAACAACATGCTCTAAATAACCAAGGAATAGAATTTTTCAACAAAAACTTTACAAGCCATGAAGGAACAGATGAGACATTCAAATCCTGAAATAAAACTGCCAACCAAGAAAGTTCTAGTAAAGCTGCCCTTCAGAAATTATGGAAAAAATGACTTTTCATAGCTAGAAAAACTGAAGAAATACATTATTACTAGAATGAGAATGGTGGAGGACTTCAAGATCCTGCTTTCACCAATGGGCAGGTCATCTAGATAGAAAATCAATAAAAAACCACCAAGTGGACATAGAAGACAGCCATAGAGCATTCTATCCCACAGCTGCAAAATATGTAATCTTCTCAACAGAACATGGAACATTTTTTTGTGACAGCTCGTATGGTAGGTCATAAAACAAGTCTCAAAAATTTGAAATAATGTTGAACATATTTTCCAATCATAATGCAATAAAATTAGAAATTAGTAGCAAAAAACTTTCAAAATGATAAAAATATGTACATGAAAATTAAAAAAAAAACCTTATGGCTGAACACCTGATGGGTCAAGAAGATGTTAAAAAGGAAATTTGAAATTTTTTCTGAACCAGTGAAAATGAAAACACAGCATATCAAAATGTATTGGATACATAATAAGTGGTACTAAGAAGGAAGCTTATAGCAGGCAGCACCAAAAAAATCTCAAATAAAAAGCTCATCAGTAAACATCAAGAGACTAGAAATCAAGAACAAACCAATCTACAACTAGTAGAAAGAAAGACATAATGGAGATGAGAGCAAAAATAAATGGAATACACATTTAAAATGCAATAGAAAGCCGGCGCCGTGGCTCAATAGGCTAATCCTCCACCTTGCGGCGCCGGCACACCGGGTTCTAGTCCCGGTTGGGGCGCCGGATTCTGTCCCGATTGCCCCTCTTCCAGGCCAGCTCTCTGCTATGGCCAGGGAGTGCAGTGGAGGATGGCCCAGGTGCTTGGGCCCTGCACCCCATGGGAGACCAGGAAAAGCACCTGGATCCTGGCTCCTGCCATCGGATCAGCGCGGTGCGCCGGCTGCAGCGGCGGCCATTGGAGGGTGAACCAACGGCAAAGGAAGACCTTTCTCTCTCTGTCTCTCTCTCTCACTGTCCACTCTGCCTGTCAAAAATAAAAAAAAATAAAAAAAAAAAGCAATAGAAAAGGTAACTAAAATGAAGAGCTTGTTTCTGCAAAAGAAAAACAAAACATATAAACTCCTAGCTAGACTAAGGCAAAAAAGCTAAAATGAATAAAATTAAAAAAGCACAGTCTACCACCGACATGACAGAAATATGAAGAATAATTACAGATTATTATGAAAAACTATATGACAACAGATTGGATAATTCCTGGACACCTTACCAAGATTGAATCCTGGAAAAATTGAAAACCTGAACAGATCAATAAAGGGTAACAAGATTAAATCCATAATAATAATCTCCATTAGAGAAAAGTCCAGGTCCAAATGACTTTACTCCTGAATATGACTGAATGTTTAGAGAATAAATAACACTAAAGCTTCTTAAATTATTTCAAGCAATAGAAAAAGAAGAAATTCTTCTAATCCCATTCTACAATGCCAATGTCACCCTGATACCAAAATCAGACAAATACACAAAAAAAAGCAAAGCTAAGGCCCATATCTTTGATGAACATGGATGTAAAAATCCTCAACAAAACACTAGCAAGCTCACTCCAACAGCATAGTGCAGAGATTATTCACCGTGATTGAATGGGATCTCTCCCAGGGATGCAAGGATGGTTTAACATATGCAGATCAGTAAACATGATACACCACATCAGCAGAATGAGGGTCAAAAACCCTCTGATCATCCCAATGGATGCAGAAAAGGCATTTGCCAAAATCCTTCATGATAAACATTTTTGAGTAAGTTGGGTACAAAGCAATGTACTTCTTTATAATGAAGGCCATATATAAATAATACATCCATACAGAATGGGAAAAACTGGAAGCTTAATCTCTAAGATGTCAAACAAGGCTATAATGCCCACTTTCACTAGTTTATTCAGTACAGCACTGGAATTTCCTGCATGAACACATAGAAATAAATGATGCTGTTCCTATTGGAAAAGAGGAAGCTAACTTGTCATTGTGCACTGGTGACATGATCTTACATATGAAAAACCACAAAAATCCCACTAGAAACTATCAGAAGTAATAAGTTCAGGAAAGTTGCAGCATACAAAAATCAGTATTGTTTAGATAGCATTTTCTCCAAAAGCAAATCATCTGAAATCATCCAGAAAACAAACCCATTTATAATAACTACAAAATTATGCCAAGGAGTAAATTCAACAACAGAAGTTAAAGATCTCTGTGGTGAAAACTATAAAATATTAATGAAAGTAATTAAAGAGGACAGAAAAAAATGTAAATGCATTGAGTGTTGATGGACTAGAAGAATCAATATGGGTAAGATGTTTTTACTATCCAAAGCAATCTTCAGATTCAATGTAACTTCTGTTAAAATATCAATGTCAGTCTTCACAGCTAAAAAAAAATCCTAAAATTTATATAGGACTGGTTGGCGCCGCGGCTCAATAGGCTAATCCTCCAACTAGCGGCGCCGGCACACCGGGGTCTAGTCCCGGTCGGGGCGCCGGATTCTGTCACGGTTGCCCCTCTTCCAGGCCAGCTCTCTGCTGTGGCCCGGGAAGGCAGTGGAGGATGGCCCAAGTGCTTGGGCCCTGCACCCCATGGGAGACCAGGAGAAGCTCCTGCCTTCGGATCAGTGCAGTGCGCTGGCCGCAGCATGCCAGCCATGGTGGCCATTGGAGGGTGAACCAACGGCAAAAGGAAGACCTTTCTCTCTGCCTCTCTCTCTCACTATCCACTCTGCCTGTCAAAAAAAAAAAAATTTATATGGGACTGTAAAAGCCCCCAAATAGACAAAGCAATCTTGAGCCAAAAGAACAAAGCAGAAAGCATCACATGTCTGACTTCAAAATATACCAGAAAGCTATAATAATCAAAATAGCATGATATTGCCTTAAAACCAATAGAGAGAAAAATGAAATAGCCTAGAAATAAACCCACACATCTGTAGCCATCTATTCTTTGACAAAGGTGCTAAGAACATGCTTAGAGAACAGAAGTTTCTTCACTCAGTGGTGCTGGGAAAATTATCTGTATGCAAAGGAGAATAAAACTAGACCCCTCAATCTCTCAGCATGTACAAAAAAATTGACTTAAATGAATGACCAGAAACTATGAAATTACTGGAAGAAAATATAGAGGAAACACTTCATGAAATTTGATGGGTAGAATTCTTTAAACAAGACATTAAAACACAGAAACAAAGCAAAACTAGACCAATGGGATTTCACGAAGCTAAAAAGCTTCTGCACAGCAAAGGAAGCAACCAACAGAGTGAAGAGAAAAATCTCCATAATAGGAGAAACTATTCATCTGAAAAGAAGTTATTATCCAAAATATGTTAGGAACTCGATCAACTCAATAGCTAAAATACAAATTATCCCTTTAAAAATGAGAAACAGAACTAAATAAGCATTTCTCTGTTTTTCCTTTTTTTTGATAGGCAGAGTTAGACCATGAGAGAGAGAGACAGAGAGAGAAAGGTCTTCCTTCTGTTGGTTCGCCCCTCAAATGGCTGCTGCAGCCGGCGCACTTGCTGCACCTATCTGAAGCCAAGAGCCAGGTGCTTTCTCCTGGTCTCCCATGTGGGTGCAGGGCCCAAGCACTTGGCCCATTCTCCATTGCTTTCCTGGGCCACAGCAGAAACCTGGACTGGAAGAGGAGCAACCGGGACTAGAACCCAGTGCCCATATGGGTTGTTGGCGCTGCAGGCGGATGATTAACCAAGTGAGCATGGCGCTGGCCCAGCATATATACTTCTAAAAGCTGGAAGGAAGGATTTTGAAGGCTTTCACTATATGGAAATAATCAATGATTGAGGAGATAGATATTTTTACTCTAAGCCCAACATTATTACATAGATGTATGTACTGAATCAATTTATGGGACCCCCTAAATATGCACATTTCTTATGAATCACTTAAAATGAAATAAAAACTATAGCTATAAAAAATCGTTTCCTTGGTTGTGTTATTTGTTATAAAGAGATGCCAGTCTAGTGCTTACGTGATTTCTCTTGTAGCTCTGCTATTGGAAAGGAAGAATCTTGAAGGTTGATCTAATTTACACTTTGAATGCTGAAACACAACTTTCTGCCCACACTCCTGGTGGCTGGAATAGCTGAGATGGATTTCTGCCCTCCTTTCTGAGGGGTGCACACCAAAGGCAGTGGCAGCTAATGACGCTACTGAGAGTGCTCTCCCTAGGTTCCTGAGGCAACATTTCTGAGCCTCCTGATGCTCCCTGCCTCCTCCTGCTGCCAAGGGAGCACTCCCTGACCCTCACAAGGAAAGGCCCTGGGGAACCCAGGTGGAGGTCCCGGGTGGAGGGCGGCTCTCCAGGCCCCAGGCTCATGATCCCTGTGCTGCTCACGAGGGTCTCGCAGGCCTCACTTCTCCCTACTCACTGGCCACAGGGAAATCACAGCTGAAATTAACAAAAATGATAATAAAATAAAAGAGTTTGGAGCTTATCCATAGTGCAGCAGGTCTGGACACCAGGACACAGCAGTGAGGAGACGCCTGGTCCATTCCCCTGTGATGCGATGGACACAGGATGCTCCCAGACACAGCCCTGCTGGAAAAGAGACTGACGAAGATCGACCTCATACCAGAACATTCTAGGAAAACACAAAACAGAACACAAGCCGTGAGTGTATCTCAGGGACACTATCCATGCTGTTCTCACCCACCCACTTAGTGAGGGAGGGGTGGGCCAAATGACAGGACCCCAGTGCTTCTGCAAGTTAGGATCCTCCTTTGGTCTGAAGCAATGCCCTCCCTCCCTCAGATACTCGTTTAGATGAATGCATGCAGTTTACAAACTGAAACCACAAAATGAAATTTAAACATATGTAGATTCATTTTATACTTTAGAGTTTATTTTTATAGACATATTCATTGGTTTAGGATGAATTTTTCTCTATCTTCTACTTCCTTTCTAAGATTGTTTACATCTAAAGAAGAAGCAATCCTAATCTTGTAGTTTAGGCTGAACTGAACAACCACGATCTGTTCCAGGAAAAGCAAACATTTTTCTTCTGGGTGGTAATACTGTTTTGAGTTTGTCCCCGAGTCTAAATGGTTTCTTTCTAAATAATAAATTTGCCCTTTTTGTTACCAGTAGGAGAAATGCACCTGCAGCATCTTTTCATGACAGCAATGAGAAGCCCTCTGTTCTTAGTCCTTATGTGAAAAACAGCATTGTGAGTGGTTTTCGTACAGCATCACATAATCAAAGATAGGGGAAAGTTTTTTAAAGCATTGCAAACTCTTTCATAAAAATAGTTTTTCTTGAGTTATCAATGTTCTTCATGTATTTTTGCTTTTAGTTATAGCGTGGACTGTAAGAAGGACAATTTCATTTTTGTTATTAAGAGTACAATGGTAAAGCCTTCATATTTTTCGGGAATCAATTGTGTGTGGGGTCAAATATTGGAGCAGTAAAATGTTCTCACCATATTTTCATTTCAGAATACAATCACCACGTCTCACTACAATTTCATAAAATGTAACTCAAAAATGTCCTGAGTGCAAAAGCAGTGCCCATAGGGAGCCTTGATGCTGTGTAGCATGCCTGTGTACCTGTCCTCCTCACCAGTCAAAACTTCCAGAAAGACAACACAGGTGATCTACAGGTAGGAGCCTCATTGACTCCATGTTGTCTTCTGCTGCCATTTGCACTGTGGCAAACAGATATCAAGTCAGGATGCTTATTGTAGATATTTAATTATTTTTCATATATATTTTTCCTATAGAGTACAAAAACATTTTTGTGGCAACTACAATGTTTTTTCAATTTAATTTTACTTATTATCAGTTGCTTTGGTACTAAAGTGCATGAACACATCACAGGGGCATGAATACATCCCTGGGTGTGCACATTTCTCTTAGGATCAGTTTCTGACCTTCTTGAAAATTCTTTTCCTTGAGCCTTCCTCACCAATATTGGGAGACAGGGTATCATAATCATTTTTTAAAGATTATTTCTTTATTTGAAAGGCAGAGTTACAGACAGAGAGGGAGAGAAAAATTGTTCATCCTCTAGTTCACTTCCCAATGGCTACAATAGCCAGAGCTGGGCGAGTACAAACCAGGAGCCAGGGGTCTCCTCTGGGTCTCCCATGTGGGTGAGGGGCCTAAGGATGCCATCCTATGCTACCTTCCTAGGCCTCCAGCAGGGAGCTGGATTGGAAGTACAGCAGTCTGAACTTGAACCAGAGCACACGCTGGATGCCAGAACGGCAGGATCGGCTTCACCATCTACTCCCTAGCACCATCCCCAATCATTTTTATAACAAAGAGTCAAAGATGAGGAAAGGTAGAGGAATACTTACAAATGAAACTTAGACATTTTGAGATAGATGTTGAAATTCAAATAGATAATCCATGCAAAGCCAAAATTCCTTTATTATCAGGGGCTCCACTAGTCATTCACTACACAAATTGAGTCTCCCATTATCTTCCTTCCTGCTTTCCTCCCTCTCAGACGACAGCAGATGAGACATGGGTGGAACAAACCACACGGCAGTGACAGAGTTCATTTTCCTGGGGTTCCCAGGCACGCCCTCTCTGCAGCGCATGCTCTTCATGATGTTTCTCACCGTGTACCTGCTCTCCCTAGTAGCAAACACCCTCATCATTGTCATTGTTCTCATGGATCCCACACTGCAGACGCCCATGTATATTTTCTTGGGAAATTTGTCCTTCCTGGAGATCTGGTACACGACCACCACGGTGCCTAAATTGCTAGCCACCCTCCTCTCCAAGGCTGTCACCATCTCCGTCGCTAGCTGCATCACCCAGTACTACTTCTTCTTCTCCATGGGGGCCACAGAGTGCATCCTGCTGGCCATGATGGCCTATGACCGCTACGTGGCCATTTGCAACCCTCTGCGCTACTCCCTCCTCATGAGCCTCCAGATTTGCCTGCGCTGCTCTGCAGGGTCTTGGATTGGGGGCTTCATTGCCCCCCTTCCACCTACCATACTCATCACTCATCTGAACTTCTGTGGTCCCCAGAAGATCAACCATTTCTTTTGTGACTCAGACCCGATTTTTAAGCTCTCCTGCTCAGACACATTCTTGGTGGAGGCCGTGGGCTACACTTGCAGCTCTGTTGTGATTCTCAGTTCCTTCCTTCTCACTATGTCCTCCTACAGCAACATTGTGGTCACCATCATCAGGCTGTCTTCCCGGGAGGCTCGCAAGAAGACTTTCTCAACCTGCGCCTCCCACCTCACTGTAGTCACCATCTATTACGGCACCATCATCTTTACCTATGTCCGCCCTCCCTCCAAGTACAACTTCACCATTGGGAAGATGGTCTCGGTGTTCTACTGTGTGATCACCCCCCTGGTAAACCCTCTCATTTACACTCTGAGAAACAAAGATGTGAAGAATGCGTTCAGGAAATTCCTGCAACAAAAGAGATTTCTCTTGTTTAGAAGCAGGCAGGAGTTTTGAGTTTTGAGCACTTCAGAGTAGATTCTCAAGCCACACTGAAAAATGGTAAGTCATAGATATTCTACTAGGAAAATGAGGCCATCCAGTACAGTCATGTCTGTACTCTATATTTTGGGTTGAATTCTACTGAGTTTCCCTAATCTTGCTCTGTTTAAGAACATTTAGTACAAAGCTACCTTGTCAGACATGTAAAGAAAGGACAGTCCCTGCCTAGGCGGTGAGCACGATTGGAAAGCAGACTTGTTTAGTCCAATTATTGCAGTTGGGTTCATTCATAATGTACATCTTAACAGGAACCATGGATTCATTCATAATGTACACCATAAGAGTAACCACAGCCAGAAGAACCCTACTGACCAGAGCAGTGTTCCTCTGCTGAGTAGATGGACTCACATAGCTTAACCCTTCACACCCCACAATATATCCCACTGGAAGTGGGCTTCTGGCTTAATGGTGAAAACACTTGATGAAGATGGTCACATCCCACATCAGAGTGCCTGGTTTCCCAATTCCACTCTGGCTCCTGACTGCAAGATTCCTGCTCATGCAGACCCTAGGAGGTAGCAGTAATGGCTCATGTAATCGGGCTCTTGTCACCCACATAGGGGATTTGGATTGAGTTCCCTGTTTCCCGATTCATCCTGGTCCAACCCTCCCATCGCTTTTGTTAGGAGATTGAACCAGCAGATAGGAGCTCACTGTCTGTCTCTCAAGTAAATTATAAACTATGTATTTAATATACCTATATGTGTATGTACATATATGCATATAAACTAGGTAAACTTTTAATAATTGTTTTTGATGCCCTAGATGCATTGTAGGAATTGGCAATGATTTAATTTTTATTGTAATTATAATTATGTATGTCATTTGAAAAATATTAGATAATATTTTTTGATTATACAGGAATGAGAGTAAATTAACTCAATTTCAAAATATTAGCAAGGGTAACATTGTGAATACATGGAGGGACAGAAAAGGAAAACTTGGTGCAGAAATGGTGTCTCTAACATAGCAAAATGAGCATCAACTCTCCCATAAAAGGTCCAAGCAGAGGCTTAATTCAGCAGCAACTGACTGTTCACCAAGTGAAGGAGAGAGGGACACACAGCACACTGGGCTTCTACTATTCCTGTGTGTTCTCCCCTTCCTGGGCTCAGGAGAGCTGTATGGGCTTCAGCAATGCGAGTCTGGTTTCAGACTTGAGGGTAACAGGGCTGCGGGAGGAAGTCAGGCCCACCTGTGCTCTTCAGAACCAGTGCCCACCCACCCTGGGACTACCCCCTACTGTTCTTCTGGCAAACTACCACCCCTAGACCTCAGCCTCATCTCCTCGGGGGTGGGTGCAGAATGGTGTGCAGGTCCCCAAGTGAGAATCTGCCCTTCAGCCAGAACCTAGGGAATGCGCAAACAGATTAAATTTAGAGAAACACAATTTAAGCATCTAGGCTCATAAACAACCCATTTTTACTGATAAGACAATAATAAAATCTAGAATTTGGTGCCCAGGCCAATGTTTGAAATATTTTCTTACTTTTACCTCAATTGTGATTTTCTGGAACCTGTGAAAAGTGTAATAAAAATATTTTTTCTAATGCTAATTTGTGTTCATTTTTAAAGTAATATATAGTCATGGCACCTGTTGTCAAGTTATTTTTATGTGTAAATGTAACGTCAGCTGTACTACACTATCATTTTTTCTGCCCCTTAATTTGTCAAACAACACATGCAAACCACCTCAGCCATAGTGCATTACACTGAATCAGTGTATAGCCACTTCTTTGTGCCTTCCCAACAGATGATAGAGCTCTTTATCCCATTAACAGTAGCAATTTTCCCTAAAACTGGTATTTTGGAAAGGTTCATGTCTTTCCCTCTTTCTAACTCCCTGTCTACATACTTCTACTTGGTCTTCCATTTTATATGGGCAAAGGTAGTGTGAGTTTTGGTATGGCTATCATTCCAAGTGCAATTTGAATACTTGCAAATTAAGGCCTCTAGTCCCTTCCATCCATTTTCAGCCCAAGGTTCTCTTTGTAAATGCTTGGATACTGCTTCCAGAAGTTGTAATCCTGCTATTTCACTGGAAAGGGGAAAACATTGACAGAACTTAATAATCACATTTTCTTTTCTTTTTTAAAAATATTTATTTATTTTTATTTAAACAGTGTGTTACAGAGGCAAAGGGAGATTGCAGGGGTGGGAGGTTTACTCCTCAAATGGCATCAATGGCCAGGGCTGACCCAGGCCAAATTCAGGAGCCAGGAGCTTCTTCTGGGTCTCCCACATGGGCGCAGACAGGGGTCCAAGCACCTGGGTCATCTTCTGCTGCTTTCCCAGGCAGGGAGCTAGATTGCAAGTGGAGCAGCTGGAACTCTAACCAGTGCTCATAAGGAAAGCCATCACAGGCAGTAGCTTAACCCACTGCACCACAAAGCAGGCCCTGGGTGTGGGGAGCAACTCGGACTAGACTAAGTTACTGGAATTAAGACTTATTCTATGCATCTGCTCTCCCACAATATGGCGCTGAGAAGGGAGAAACAGCTTCTACACAGCTGCCTCCAGTTCAACCAATAAACTGTAGGACCTACTCCTGATTGGAGGAGAGCAGCGTACTCGGCGTGTGGGTAGCAGAGTTGGGATTGGTGGAAGAGGACTATAAAGGAGGAGAGAGACAACATGTACCAGGAACATCTAAGAGGAACATCTATCTGAAGGAACACCTGTGCAGCCCCCGAGAGAGCCGGCCGGCCGGCGGTGTGCCGCTTCCCCGCAGAAGTGGGGAGTGTGGCAGGGGGAACCGCCCTTCCACGGAGGTGGAAGGGTCGGTAGCCAACCCGGGAAGAACCAGCAGCAAACCCGGGGAGGGCCGAGCAGACGAAAGAACAGCGCAGGGTCCTGTGTCGTTCCTCCACGAAGACGGGGAGTGACATAATGGTGCCGTGACTTCGGATATGAAGCCTAGGCAGGGTTTAGTGTTGTTCCTCCACGAAGAGGGGGAGCAACACTGGGAATTTTAGTTGGATGAGTTTGACATTTCACAGAAATGCACAAGAGCATCCTATATGAGAGCTGTGCAATCTTTCCTTGCATTTTCCCATTTTTTTTGTTGTGTTGAACTCTTTTTTTTCTTCAAACCATGGGTTTTCTTTGTCTATCAGAAACATCAATCCTTCCTCTATTCTTGGAGGTGCAGATATATCTCCAGTTATATTTTTAAAATGCTTCTTTATTTTTAATCTGTAGAAAATGTGTTCATTTTGTTTTATATTTTGATCCTAAACTCCACCTTTTTTGTACTTAGAGAAGTTTTTTAGAAATACCACCATTACCCAAATGTTTTCAAGGCTATCACTGTGTTTTTGTTTCAGAACTTTTATTTTTTCTTCCTTAAAGTCTTAGTTTATGCTGTAGTTTTGGTAACTGGGCACTTGATGTGAGGTGTAGGTCAGATAGTTTTTAAACACTCGGTTTGCTCAACATTGTGTGTCAGTTCACAATCATCAGCCACAGTATTTCCACATGCATTAGATACACTATGAATAGCTGTGGTTTTATTCATTGACCTCTTTTCTTTGGATTGAATGTTTGCTGTTTGCACGGTGTTTCAACTTTTACTCCTGATTGACACCTTGACACATTGTATGTGTCTGTGGGGTGCCCTGCTGCTCCTGTAGACATGCATCCCATGCAGTGGTCGCAAGGATGGCAGCGTCCCTCACTTTGAACCATATCGTGTCTTTGTGGTGTGCGCTGTCAAAGGCCTCTCTCTGGTTTCTTCAGACACATGATCTTGCTGGCTCTGGTCTCCCTGCCATGCAGTGGAACAGCAGAGCTCACCTCTATGCTCTCCTGGGGGCTCTGCACCATTCACCAATCTCTGCTGGCCCCCGACCCTGGCCCCAGCCCCAGCCTGGGGAACCACTGCTCCCTCTGCTGCTAGGAGCTGGGATTCTCAGATCCCAGGCAAGAGCGAGCCCTCTGGCATTTGTCTCCTGGGCCTGGTGTACTTAACAACAAAAATGCATTTCAACAATGTTAGAGGAGAGAAGGGAGAAAACCTGTCATAAAGAAGAGAGTGGAGGGGGCCAGCGCCGTGGCTCAGCAGATTAAAGCCCTGGCCTGAAGCACAGGCATCCCATACGGGTCCCTGTTGGAGACTGGGCTGCTCCACTTCCAATTCAGCTTTCTGGTAAGGCCTGGGAAAGCAGTAGAAGATGGCCCATGTCCTTGGACCCCTGCACCTGCGTGGGAGACCTGGAAGAAGCTCCTGGCTCCTGGCTTCGGATGCACACACACAAAAATCAAGCCTGTGTATACACAGGCAATGCTATAGCTGAGAAAGAACTTCTAAGCTCAATCCCATTCACAATAGCTACAAAAAATTTAAATACCTTGGGATAAATTTAATCAAAGATGTGAAAGATCACCATGTTAAAAATCACAAAACATTAAAGAAAAAAATAGAAGAAAACACAAAAAGGTAGAAAAATTTTCCATGTTCATGGATTGGAAGAATCAACATCTTCAAAATGTCCATACTACTGAAAAGCAATTTATAGATTCAATGTAATCCCAATCAAATACAAACAACATTATTCTCAGATCTAGAAAAAATGATGCTAAAATTCATATGTAAATACAAGAGACTGTGAACAGCTAAAGCAATCTTAAACAACAAAAACAGAGCTGGAGACAACACAATACCAGAGCTCAAGACATACTACAGGACAGTTATAAGCAAAACAGCCTGGTACTGGCACAAAAAGAGATGTGTAGACCAATCGAGCAGAATAGGAACTCCAGAAATTAACCCACACATCTACAACCCCTGGAGCCAGGACAGTCTCTTCAACAAATGGTGCTGGGAAAACTGGATCTCCACATGCAGAAATATAAAACAAGACTCCCTAGCTCACATCTTATACAAAAGTTCACTCAAAATGGAACAGAGATCTAAATCTATGATGTGATATCATCAAATTACTAGGGAATATTCAGGGAAACCCTGCATGACATTGGCATAGGGAAAGACTTCTTGGAAAAGACCCCAGAAGCACAGGCAATCAAAGCCAAAAAATAGACAATAAAACTTCACAATAGTGGGTTTTTTGATGATTTTTCATTTTGACACCAAAAACACAGGCAACAGAAGACAAAATAGACAACTTGATCTTCATTTAAAAATTTTTAAAAATGTGTGCATAGAGCATCACTATGAATTTAGTAAAAAAAAACAACTCATTGAATGGCAGAAAATATCTGCATGCCATGTATCTGCTATATTTTGACATCTTGTGTATATAAACCAATTTGAAAACCTAGCAAGAACAAAACTATCTGATTTAAAATAAGTTAAGGGCCTGTGTGATAACTTTCCCCAAAGAAACATACCAATGGCCAATAACTATATAGAAAATAATTTAATATCATTAATCAATAGGGATATATAAAAGAAAGTTACAAGGAGATATCACTTCACATACATTAAAATAGCTACTGTCAAAATAAAAAAGAAGCGAGCCGGCGCCGTGGCTCAATAGGCTAATCCTCCACCTTGCGGCGCCGGCACACCGGGTTCTAGTCCCGGTTGGGGCGCCGGATTCTGTCCCGGTTGCCCCTCTTCCAGGCCAGCTCTCTGCTATGGCCAGGGAGTGCAGTGGAGGATGGCCCAGGTGCTTGGGCCCTGCACCCCATGGGAGACCAGGAAAAAGCACCTGGCTCCTGGCTCCTGCCAGGATCAGCGCGGTGCGCCGGCTGCAGCGGCGGCCATTGGAGGGTGAACCAACGGCAAAAGGAAGACCTTTCTCTCTCTGTCTCTCTCTCACTGTCCACTCTGCCTGTCAAAAAAAAAAAAAATAAATGAAAAAATAAAAAAAAAATAAAAAAGAAGCAAAAGTTAAGGACAAGTGTGGTAAGGCTGTGAAGACACTTTAATCTTAAAGTATGGGTGCTTGGAATGTAAAATGGTATAGCTCCTGTGGAAAGCGGTATCCGCTTACTCAGATAATCACACCCCAGCTTTCCGCTTGATCCATACTACTGAAAGTCTACGTGAAAGTTTTGAAGGCAGGAATGCAAAGAGAGTTTGTACTCATACACCAATTGCAATAGCAGCATTGTTCACAATAAATAAAACACAGATCCAACCTAATTATATGAACAAACAAAATATTATACACACAGAGATGGTGAGGGACCTAAAAAATTTGTGGAAAATGGAATTAAGTTTATTTTGGTGCAAATGATTTTTGAAATCTGTGCATAGTTCTTTTTTTCTGTTCTTTTCTTTTCTTTCTTTCTTTCTTTTTTTTTTTTTTTTTTTTTTTTTTTTTTTTGGACAGGCAGAGTTAGTGAGAGAGAGAGAGAGACAGAGAGAAAGGTCTTCCTTTTTCTGTTAGTTCACCCCCCAAGTGCCCTCTACAGCTGGCATGTTGCGGCCGGCACGCTGCGCCGATCCGAAGCCAGGAGCCAGGTGCTTCCTCCTGGTCTCCCATGTGGGTGCAGGGCCCAAGGACCTGGGTCATCCTCCACTGCACTCCCGGGCCACAGCAGAGAGCTGGCCTGGAAGAGGAACAACAGGGACAGAATCCATCGCCTAGACCGGGACTAGAACCCCATGTGCCGGTGCCGCAGGTGGAGGATTAGCCTAGTGAGCCATGGCACCGGCCACATAGTTCTTTCATAATATACATTTTCCATGAACTTTTAAAATTAATTAATTTTTTTATTTGAAAGACAGAATTACAGAGAGAGGGAGAGAGAGAGAGAGAGAGAGAGAGAGAGATCTTCCATTCTGCTGATTCACTCCCCAAATGACCACAACTGCCAGAGCTGAGCTGATCTGAAGCCAAGAGCCAGGAGCCAGGAGCCAGGAGCCAGGAGCCTCTTCCAGGTCTCCCACATGGGTGCAGGGGCCCAAGGAGTTGGCCATCTTCCACTGCTTTCCCAAGCCATAGCAGAGAGCTGGATCAGAAGTGGAGCAGCCAGGACTTGAACCGGCACCCATATTGGATGCTGGTGCTGCAGGCTGGGGCTTTAACCTGCTGTACCACAGTACCAGCCCCTCCATGAACATTTTAAAGGCCCGTCTGTGTATGTGTGTGTAACTGTGTAACAATCAACATTAAAAATGAGGAAATGTTAACTCAATTCTACAATGTGAGACTTGAGGGTATTTTGCCATGTGAAATATGCTAGTATCAAAATAGGGAATGCTGTATGTTCTCACTTGTATGATAGACTGGTCAAACTCCAAGACAGAAGACAAATGTAAGTTGCTGAGTGCTATGGGCAGAAAGTGACGAGGAATTACTATACAATGGGACACAATATTAGCTAAGGAAGATGGAAACATTTACATTTTAGAGATCAAAGGGGTGAGAGTTGAACAACCATGTGCATAGATAATGCCAATTAACGTAAAAATGGCTAAAGTGGTAAACATTATCATACATATTTTCACAAAATAAAAGTATTATTGAATTGTTTTACTGCAAGATATATGAGCATGGGTTGATGGCAAACTCCTGAGCACATGCTGGAAACAGATATTTTCAAACATTTTTGGCACCAGTTTAGCAGAAACTTTAGGAAATTGATCTTCGATATATCAATTATGTTTCAAAGACATTCTTGAACCATGTGCACATGTGCACAGAGGCAATATATGGAAAATTATGTTAATGTGCTACTATGGTAGAAATGTTGTCAAAACACTGACTACCCATAATAGAATATTGTGTTATATATAAAAGCAAGAAGTCTTGTGAAGTGGGGTTTTGTATAGAGCTGAGTCTATGAGCCCCGGCAGTGCATGTGAGAAGACCCTTCTCCATAACTACGCGGCTAAAGAGGAAGTGTGCTGAGGAAACACTCCCAAACCTGAATTCCAGTTAGCTCTGGGAATAAATGTGGCAGTAGACTTTGCAGTCAATTTGTTTTCTACAGTCCTTGTTATTTTACTTGAATACTTCTTCTATAAATGCTACTGCACAGGTGGTCGTTGTGATGTAGCGGGTTAAGCTACCACTTAGACACTTGAATCTTACATTGGAGCGCCTGGGATCCAGTTCCCCCTCAGCTTGGAATCTAGCTTTCTGCTAAAGCACATCATAGGGGGCAGCCGATGATGGTTCCAGTACTTGGGTCCCTGCCACCCATCACGGTGACTGATCCTGGCCTCAGCTTGGCTGCTGAGAGCATTTGAGGGGTGCACCAGCAGATGGGAGATTTTTATCTCTCTCTCTCTTGCTCTGTAGTTCTGTGTTTCAAAAAATAAGAATCCATTTTTTTTTATAGAAGCTACTGCAGAAGTAGAAATGCAAAACAAACTAGCATATGGCTCAATATGTGTTCCTGGATTTACCTTTTAATACCTGAATGCAAAAGTTCTCTTTACCACAACAAGGTAAGGTGAAAACAGCTTCAGGAGTGGAAAGACTCCACCGACGCTGCGATCTCCTCCCGGGGGGCACACGTGTCACCTTCCTGAGTGCTTCCAGAGCCACCGGCCACTTGGCCAGGCTCACCCCACCACCAGGACCTCACCACGTTCTCACCCCTGGGCCGGTGCCAAAGTCCCCCCAGCCCTGGGGAATCGGGGAGGAAATAAATGTCCCGTGGCCGGCAGCTGGATGGAAGCCCGCAGGCTGTGGCTCCTCCTCACACCCGTCAAGACCCAGACAGCGGAACCCCCGTCACTCACTCCCCTGTCAGCACGCGGGCTGTGGAACGCGTCACTCCCCTGTCAGCACGCGGGCTGAGGACCCTCCCTCACTCCCCTGTCAGCACGCGGGCTGCGGACCCCCCTCAATTCCCTGTTAGCAAGCGGGCTGCGGACCCCCGTCAGTCACTCTCCTGTCAGCACGCGGGCTGCGGACCCCCGTCAGTCACTCCCCTGTCAGCACGCATGGTGCGGACTCCTGTCAGTCACTCCCCTGTTAGCACGCATGGTGCGGACTCCTGTCAGTCACTCCCCTGTCAGCACGCAGGCTGCGGGACCCCCGTCAGTCACTCCCCTGTCAGCACGCAGGCTGCGGGACCCCCGTCAGTCACTCCCCTGTTAGCACGCAGGCTGCGGGACCCCCGTCAGTCACTCCCCTGTCAGCACGCAGGCTGCGGGAACCCCGTCAGTCACTCCCCTGTCAGCACGGGGGCTGCGGGACCCCCGTCAGTCACTCCCCTGTCAGCACGCAGGCTGCGGGACCCCCGTCAGTCACTCCCCTGTCAGCACGGGGGCTGCGGGACCCCCGTCAGTCACTCCCCTGTCAGCACGCAGGCTGCGGGAACCCCGTCAGTCACTCCCCTGTTAGCACGCGGGCTGCGGACCCCTCCTCACTCCCTGACGCGGGCTCCGGACCCCCGTCACTCCCCTGTCAGCACGCGGGCTGCGGACCCCCCTCAATTCCCTGTCAGCACGCGGGCTGCGGACCCCTCCTCACTCCCTGACGCGGGCTCCGGACCCCCGTCACTCCCCTGTCAGCACGCGGGGAGCCTGCCCCGGAGGTCGTGGCTCAGCCCCGCACGCTCACCGCGGCGCCACCTTCCGGTTTCCTGGCGCCGCAGACAGAGCAGCCGGTGCTGGCGGAGACGCGGGTCTTTCCTGGCGGTGCTCGGGCGGGAGCTGCGCCGCGGGCGCCCGCCGGGCGTGAGGGGACCCGGGAGACCGCCGCGAGGTGTCCGCGAGGACCCGGGCGGCCAGTGCACGGCCGCGCGTCCAGACCACCCAGCTTCCTATTCGCCAGAGGTCAGTCGGGGACGGGGCGATTCTCCGGTTGTAAATGCGCCTTTAACAGTGTAGCGAGGCGTCCCGCGCCGCGGGCGATTCCGTGACGGACACCTATGGTGCACCGAGGAGCGGCCCCAGACGCGCACGCCGCGAGGGGCTCTGCCGAGGGTGTGGCGAGGACCCTCAGACGCGCCGGCCTCCGGGGCCGCTGCGGCTCCGAGAGACAAACGCGCACTTCTTGTTTTACTCAGCGCTCTTGTCACATGACCTCTTGAAATGTGATAATGTGGATGATTTTTAAGATATAAAAATTTAGTCTTTGATCAGCATACAACATGTGTATATATCTGTAAATTGGAATTTGGTGTTTTCGTTTCACAGCTACAGTATTTATAGAGCTGTATATAAGGGAACCTCAGTGGGTTCAGGAACTCTGTCTCTCTGCTTCTCAAATAAAAAAAATAATTTTACAAAGGAAGCCGGTGTTTCGCCTAGTGGCTAAATGCCCACGTCCGACATTGAATTCCCTGGGTCTGATTCCTGGCTGTGTTCCTGACCCCAGCTCCCCAGCAATGCAGACCCAGGGAGGTAGTCACGAGGGCTCAAGGGACCCCCTGACTGAGCTCTTGCCAATCTTGTGAGACTTGGATTTCTTGACAACTTCTGTCAAAGGTTCCAGCCCAGTCCTGGACCTTTGTCAGTATTTAGGGAGATGGGAACTTTCTTTCTCTGTCCCTCTTCCACCCTGTCCCATCTCTGTTTTCTACCTTTCAAATCAAAAACAGTTTTGAAAAGTTCATGGAAAATGGGAATGAAATGTGTTTATTTTATACAAAAATTATGAAATCCATGTATAGTTTTCCCATAGAACTCACTTTCCTTGAGCTTTTTGAAAACCCTTACTGTGCATGAATCTCAAATTTTCTGCACCACAACATACATCTTGTAACTCTATTTACTGTAGATATTTTGAAGTCTCCTTTTACATTAAGTATATCTATCTATTTATCTATCTATGAGGCAATGGTCAATGGTCAATTCAGAGTAATTGCATTATCCACAAACAGACTTTTTACATTTCTTGATGTCAAGTACATTCTAAATCCTCTCTTCTATTTTGAAACATATAATGCATTTTTGACAATGGCACTCAGCTTGCTGTATCAAAGAACACTAGAACTATTCCTCTCATCTATCACTATGTAGATCTGTGACACCTGTGAAGTATTGGAACAGATTTACAGGAAATTTCCTCCCATCTGCCAGACGGACAACCTAAGGAGGGAAAGACACTAAAACTCCTGCTGCTCCTGAATGATGAACACATTTCAATTCATACATTTTCTGCCTATCCTAAGTTGTCCTTAATATCAACTGCATTTAAACTTTTTCCATGAAAATATGATGTGATGAGTTATATGATATATGAGATGTCTCAAAATGTTCATGGGAAATGTACACTATGAGAGAACTGTAAGTGGAGTATAAGTTTCTTCTTGGGCCAAAATATACTTATCTCTTAATTCCATTCTCCACAAACATTTTGATGTATACTCACATTTATCTGATGATTGTCTGGTGAACTGTAGCTTGACCGGGGTCCACCTAAGAGAAGGTGGGTACAACCAGAAGACCAGGACTGGTGCGTGCTTGTCTGAGTAGATGGTTATCCGTGCTATAGACCTTCTCACAGAAAAGGGGCAGCATGGCTGGGAAAGTGGCAAACAGGACCACCATAACAGAATTCTTGCTCTTGAGGCTCCCTGAGGACTGGGGGCTTCAGGTGCTGTGTGCCACCCTCTTCTTGCTGCTCTACCTGGCAGCCCTGATGGGGAACCTCCTCCTCATCACCCTCATCACTCTGGATCAGCATCTCCAGTCACCCATATATTTGTTTCTAAAGAATTTGTCCTTGATTGACATCTGCTATGTCTCTGTCACTCTCCCCAAATCCATCATGAACTCTCTGACCAACAGTCGTTCCATCTCCTTCCTGGGATGCGCCTCACAGATTTTCCTCGTGATTGCTCTCGCTGGCACGGAGTATGCTCTCCTTCTGGTGATGTCCTATGACTGCTATGTCGCCATCTGCCACCCTCTGCACTATGAGGCCATCGTGAGTAGTCACACCTGTGTGCAGATGGTGACTGTCTCGTGGCTCAGTGGGTGTGTGTATAGATCTCTTCACACTGCAGGCACATTCTCAGTCCACTTCTGTGGGTCCAACATCGTGCACCTGTTCTTCTGTGATATCCTTTTGCTGATCATGCTTGCTTGTTCTGGACAGCAATCCCTAGAATATGCATTTATCATTGCTAGCTTCTGTTTTGATCTTATGTGTTTGATTTTTATGGTTGTGTCTTATGTTCACATTTTTTCTACTGTTCTGAGAATCCCATCTGAAAAGGGCAGAAAGAAGACTTTTTCAACCTGCCTGCCTCACCTTGCTGTGGTGAAGTTGTTCTTTTCTTCAGGAATTATTGCATATTTAGCCCCAAATTTTGGATCTTCCCCTTCAGTGAAAGTGCTGACATCTGTACTTTACACTCTATTACCCCCTCCCTAAATCCCCGCATTTACAGCCTGAGAAATTGGGACATGCAGGTGGCCTTAGGCCTTGGCCTTGGGATTGTTGTTGGTAAAATGCTCAAAAAATTTTTTGATTTAAATAGATTGATGATAATTGCTTCTGAAAAGACAGTTCTGTTTTTCTCTGCTACTTGATACAATTTAGATTTTTGGTTGGAACTTTTGAGTTTTGATATATGAGATCATGTTGTCTTCAAACAGACAATTTGACTTATTCCTTGCTAATTTCTATGCTCTGTATTTATTCTCTCACCTAATTTTTGCATCTAGGACTTTTGAACACAGTGATGAATGTGGGCCTCATTATTTTATTCCAGATTTTAGAAGGGAGAATTTCAAACTTCCCACTCACTATGAGGCTTGCCTTGGGTTTGCCACGCATGATTATGTTGAGGGAGGTGCCTTCCACACCTAATTTGTTGAGCATTTTTATCATGAAAGAATGCTTCATCAACTGTTTTCTGTGTCTGTTGGAGTGGTTGTGAGGTTGCTGTGTTTAATTCTGTAACGTGAAATGTAACATCCATTGATTTGTATACACTGAGCCAGCCTTTTAATTCCATGAGGTAGATTCCAGTTGATCATGGTGAGTGCTCTCATGTGCTGTTGATTTGGTTTGCTGGTATTTTGCTGAGGATTTTCATGCTGCTTTCAATAGGGATTTTGACTTGTATAGTTGCCTTTTTTTTGATATCAAGGTAATGCCAGCATCAAAGAATGAGCTTGGAAAAATTCTTTCCCTTTTACTTTTTAAAGTAGTTTAAGAATTGGCTTTAGGTCTTTGTCAAACACTGTAGAGTCAGCAGTGACACCATCAGGGCTCGACTTTTCTTTGATGGAGAATTTATTACTGAGACTGTTTCATTACTCTTTATTGTATTTTCTCATTCTTTATGACTCAATCTTAGTAGTTTTTATGTGCATGGGAGTTTATTTCTTTTAGGTTTACCAATTTGTTGTATAATTTTTCTTAATAGTTCCTAATGATCCATTGTAAATATGTGGTATTAATTCTAATGTTTCCTTATTTACTTTTAGAATAAGCTTATCTTTTCTTTAAAAAGATTTATTTATTTATTTGAAAGTCAGAGCTACACAGAGAGAGAGAGAGATCTTCCATCTCATGGTTCACTCCCCAATCGGCTGCAAAGGCCGGAGCTGTGCTGATTTGAAGTCAGGAGCCAGGAGCTTCCTCCAGGTCTCCTGTGCTAGTGAAGGGGTCCAAGTACCTGGGCCGTCTTCCATCGCTTTCCCAGGTCACAGCAGAGAGCTGGATTGGAAGTGGAGCAGCCGGGTCTCAAACCGGTGACCATATGGGATGCTGGCGCTTCAGGTCAGGGCGTTAACCCACTGCGCCACAGCGCCAGCCCCTCCTTTTTTATTTATGATATTGATTTTTTAACTATTTATATTTTATATTTAGCAGTTTTAACATTTTCCCATATTCATATGTGAATGTTACATACATAATCTACATACTACTTTTCTTGAAAGTGGGGATTTTAATATCACATAATATGGGGTTCATGTCAAGGATTACAGAGTGAGGAAAGGAGGCTGTATTATTTTGTAGAAGGTATAATTTAGTAAAGAAAGCACTTAAAGCTGTCCATATGCCAAATAATATGACATGCACACATTCTTATACTCTTTATATATATAAACTTCCACATACAAGAGAAAACATGTAAAATTTGTCTTTCTGTGTCTGGCTTATTTCATAATTTCATTATTGCATAATGATTTCAGCATTTCATTTTTTTATGTCTGAGTAACATCCTATTGTGTATGTACAGCACATTTTTAAATCCAGTAATCAGCTGATGGACATTTAGGTTGATTACTTACCTCTGCTACTGTGAATGGAGCTGCAATAAACATGGGAGTGCTGCTACCACTCCTATATGCTCATTTCATTTCTTTTTTTTTTATTTTTTATTTATTTGACAGGTAGTTATAGACAGTGAGAGAGAGAGAGACAGAGAGAAAGGTCTTCCTTCCCTTGGTTCACTCCCCAATGGCTGCTATGGCCGGCGCTGCGCCGATCTGAAGCCAGGAGCCAGGTGCTTCTTCCTGGTCTCCCATGGGGATGCAGGGGCCCAAGCACTTGGCCCATCCTCCACTGCCCTCCTGGGCCACAGCAGAGAGCTGGACTAGAAAAGGAGCAACCAGGACTAGAACCTGGCACCCATATGGGATGCTGGTGCTGCAGGCAGAGGATTGACCAAATGAGCCACGGCACCAGCCCCATTTCATTTCTTTTGGATATATTGCCTGAAGTGAGATAGCTGGGTCATAGGCAAGATCCATTTTTAGTTTTTTGAGGAATCTCCATATTGTTTTCTATAGTGGTTATATTAATTTGCATTCCCATCAAATTTCTTATTTCAGTCATATATCACTTTTTTTATATCTAAATATTTGTTAATTTTTTTAAAAAATCTGCTCTCATTTCCTTGATCTTCGGTATTATTTGTTTAGTCTAATTAGTTTATTTCTCTTGGGATCTTTTTTTACTTCCTACCTACTGATTTACATTTAATTTGCTCTTGTTTTTCATTCTCTTTGTGCAACATTCAATTATCTGGGCTCTTTTTTGATTTTTGATGTTGGTGTCATAGCCACAAACTTTTCCTCTGAGAACTGCTTTTGCTCTATCCCATAGGATTTGGAAAGTTTGTTTCCATTTTTATTTGTCTCATTTTCATTTTTAAATTTATTTATCTCTTTGAAAGTAGAGTTGCAGAGAGAGGGAGAGACTGAGATGGGGTGGGAGGGTCTTCCATCTGCTGATTCACTCTCTAGGTGGTCATAATGGCTAGGGCTGGGGCAGGCCAAAGCCAGTAGCTTGTTCCAGGTCTCCCACATGGATGTCTGGGTCCCAGATCCTTGGGGCATTCTCTTCCGCTTTTTCCAGACCATTAGCAGGGGGTTGGATCAGAAGTAGAGCAGCTGGGACAAGAACCAGTGCCCGTATAGGATGCCTGCATGGCAGACAGCAGCTTTAACCACTATGTCTCATTCCCAGCCCCATCTCAAGATATTTTTAGAGTTTCCTTTTTAATTTCTTCCTTGAGCCCTTGGTGAAAGAGCACAATGCTTAATTTCCATGTGTAAATGCAATTTCTAAAGTTCTCCTTTTTTTTTTTTTTAATTTTTTTTTTTGACAGGCAGAGTGGACAGTGAGAGAGAGAGACAGAGAGAAAGGTCTTCCTTTGCCGTTGGTTCACCCTCCAATGGCCGCCGCGGCCGGCGCACTGCGGCCGGCGCACCGCGCTGATCCGATGGCAGGAGCCAGGAGCCAGGTGCTTTTCCTGGTCTCCCATGGGGTGCAGGGCCCAAGCACCTGGGCCATCCTCCACTGCACTCCCTGGCCACAGCAGAGGTCTGGCCTGGAAGAGGGGCAACCGGGACAGAATCCGGCGCCCCGACCGGGACTAGAACCCGGTGTGCCGGCGCCGCTACGCGGAGGATTAGCCTAGTGAGCCGCGGCGCCGGCCTAAATGCAATTTCTAAAGTTCTCCTTTTTTTAAAAGATTTACTTATTTATTTGAAAGTCAGAGTTACACAGAGAGAGGAGAGGGAGGGGGAGGGGGAGGGAGAGGGAGAGGGGAGGGGAGGGAGATGTGGTAGGGCTCAAAGTAAGAAGTACTGCTATCCTGGCAATCACTGCACGAGGTGCACATCTCTGGGATGTATTGTCCAAGTGTATTGGTCACAAAGCTGTTTTGAAATAACAGAAATAAACAATGTCCAACATAGAGGAATTTATGAAGTAGAGAATATTGTATGGGACATAGAATCCAATAAAGTTTTTCATCTTGTTACTAACAATATCAAGATATTTAATTATAAAGTGAAAAAAAAGTTATAAAGTGAGGCTGCAGTGAGTGCCTCTCATACCAGATTTTTTTTTTATTTGAAAATGTGCCTAGTTGACATTGTGAAGTGTTCCCTCAGTGGGTGTTGGGAGACAATTTAGAAGACACCTTGAAAGGAAGGGGTCAGATGTAGTCATGGAGGCATCTGAAATATAGACACATGTGTCTCAGATTCCAGGTCTGTCTGAAGATGAGAATATGTGGATGTTAGAAAAGACTTTAGTAGCAAAAACAAGAATTAGTGCTGAATTGCCCGTGTGCAGTGATGGAGTAGGTACCAACATGGAGAACTCTAAGGGGCTAGGTTTTCTGAATTAAAGACATAATATAGTTCCTTTTCTTTAGGGTGATGGGATAATGCTGGGTTCAGCTTTTTGGTGAGAAGCAGTCCGTGGTCAATTCTGTTCTCAGAGGGAAACAGTGAGAGACAAAGATGTTCTCCCTGGAGACTCAGTGCAGCAGTGTTTCAAAGCAGCATGCACATACCATCTATACCCAAAACCTAAGTGGTACACAACAGAATAATATACAAACAAATAGGATGTTCAGAAATAATTTCCTAGATTTAGAAGTTGCTCAAAAACTCACAAACGGTGTCTTTATACACTAACCTCCCAGGTCAGCAGAGATGGTCCAAGCCCCTGGTAAAAATGCATGTATAAATGTGTGGTGAAGACCAGAAATCAGCCTGTGAGTAAATAGACATCTATCTGTAAAGTGTTTCTTGTCTCCTGGACGTTTTGTGAGTTCTCTTCAATAGTGTCCTAGATTTATAAAATCTAATTAAATCTTGTTTTTTTATTTTTCTCCTTCCAGAGTCTTACTTTTGCTTTGTATTATTGCTCTGTTTTTTGATGATCTCCACCAGCACAGATTTTGAAATGCCACAATAATCTGCTTTAATGCAAACTCTCTAAAGAAAATGTGATTAGTATAGTCATGACCAAGATTCTCCCTTTCTAGTACAACTCCTACTATTAAAGCTTTTGAGTGTCATATCCAAGCATTTACAAAATCAAAACCTTGGGCTACAAACAGATAGAAGGGACAAGAAAGCTTCTCTTACATGTCTTTGAATTGTCATTGAAAGGGCAGAGTTGCAGCACAGCGGGTTAAGCTGCTGCTTTCACACCGGATTCCCACATAAGAGCACCACCTTGGTCCTGGTTGTTCAGATTCCGGTCCAGCTCCCTGCTTATGAAAGCAGCAGAGATGGCCCAAGTACCTGGGTCTCTGGCACTTATATGGGAGATCCAGATGGAGTTCTGAGCTCCTGCCTTCTACCTAGCTAAGCCCCAGTCATAGTTGTGGCCATTCAGGACTGAATTGGGTTGGAAGATCCATGACCATATATTGCTTTAAAAATGAACACAAATTAGCATTAGAAAAAATATTTTTATTACACTTTTCACAGGTTCCAGAAAATCACAATTGAGGTTAAAATAAGAAAATATTTCAAACATTGGCCTGGGCACCAAACTCTAGATTTTATTATTGTCTTATCAGTAAAAAAGGGTTGTTTACAAGCCTAGATACTGAAATTGTGCTTCCCTAAATTTAATCTGCTTGCACATCCCCTGGGTCTGGCTGAAGGGCAGATTCTCACTTGGGGACCTGGGCGCCACTCTGCAGCCAGCCCTGAGGAGCTGAGGCTGAGGTCTAGGGGTGGTAGTTTGCCAGAAGAACAGTAGGGGGCAGTCCCAGGGTGGGTGGGCACTGGTTCTGAAGAGCACAGGTGGGCCTGACTTCCTCCCGCAGCCCTGTTACCCTCAAGTCTGAAACCAGACTCGCCTTCCTGAAGCCCATACAGCTCTCCTGAGCCCAGGAAGGGGAGAACACACAGGAATAGTAGAAGTCCAGTGTGCTGTGTGTCCCTCTCTCCCTCACTTGGTGAACAGTCAGTTGCTGCTGAATTAAGCCTCTGCTTGGACCTTTTATGGGAGAGTTGATGCTCATTTTGCTATGTTAGAGACACCATTTCTGCACCAAGTTTTCCTTTTCTGTCCCTCCATGTAATCACCATGTTACACTTGCTAATATTTTGAAATTGAATTCTGTACTATTCAAAATACTTTCTCATATATTTAATGACATTACCTAGCTGTGTCTATAATAAAAATTATATAATCATCAATGCTTATAAATAGTGTCAGTCTCCGCATATATGTTTAATAAATGTTTATTAATTTACATATATATTTAAATTGCTTAAAAATTATTTGAGAGACAGAGAGTGAGCTCCTATCTGCTGGTTCAATTTCCTAACAAAAGCGATGGGAGGGTTGGACCAGGATGAATCGGGAAACAGGGAACTCAATCCAAATCCCCTATGTGGGTGACAAGAGCCCGATTACATGAGCCATTACTGCTACCTCCTAGGGTCTGCATGAGCAGGAATCTGCAGTCAGGAGCCAGAGTGGAATTGGGAAACCAGGCACTCTGATGTGGGATGTGGCCATCTTCATCAAGTGTCTTCACCATTAAGCCAAAAGCCCACTTCCAGTGCGATATATTGTGGGGTGTGAAGGGTTAAGCTATGTGAGTCCATCTACTCAGCAGAGGAACACTGCTCTGGTCAGTAGGGTTCTTCTGGCTGTGGTTACTCTTATGGTGTACATTATGAATGAATCCATGGTTCCTGTTAAGGTGTACATTGTGAATGAACCCAACTGCAATAATTGGACTAAACAAGTTTGCTTTCCAATCATGCTCACCTCCTAGGCAGGGACTGTCCTTTCTTTACATGTCTGACAAGGTAGCTTTGTACTAAATGTTCTTAAACAGAGCAAGATTAGGGAAACTCAGTAGAATTCAACCCAAAATATAGAGTACAGACATGACTGTACTGGATGGCCTCATTTTCCTAGTAGAATATCTATGACTTACCATTTTTCAGTGTGGCTTGAGAATCTACTCTGAAGTGCTCACTTCTGTTGATAACTCAAAACTCCTGCCTGTTTCTGAACAAGAGAAATCTCTTTTGTTGCAGGAATTTCCTGAACGCATTCTTCACATCTTTGTTTCTCAGAGTGTAAATGAGAGGGTTTACCAGGGGGGTGATCACACAGTAGAACACCGAGACCATCTTCCCAATGGTGAAGTTGTACTTGGAGGGAGGGCGGACATAGGTAAAGATGATGGTGCCGTAATAGATGGTGACTACAGTGAGGTGGGAGGCGCAGGTTGAGAAAGTCTTCTTGCGAGCCTCCCGGGAAGACAGCCTGATGATGGTGACCACAATGTTGCTGTAGGAGGACATAGTGAGAAGGAAGGAATTGAAAATCACAACAGATGTGCAAGTGTAGCCCACGGCCTCCACCAAGAATGTGTCTGAGCAGGAGAGCTTAAAAATCGGGTCTGAGTCACAAAAGAAATGGTTGATCTTCTGGGGACCACAGAAGCTCAGATGAGTGATGAGTATGGTAGGTGGAAGGGGGGCAATGAAGCCCCCAATCCAAGACCCTGCAGAGCAGCGCAGGCAAATCTGGAGGCTCATGAGGAGGGAGTAGCGCAGAGGGTTGCAAATGGCCACGTAGCGGTCATAGGCCATCATGGCCAGCAGGATGCACTCTGTGGCCCCCATGGAGAAGAAGAAGTAGTACTGGGTGATGCAGCTAGCGACGGAGATGGTGACAGCCTTGGAGAGGAGGGTGGCCAGTAATTTAGGCACCGTGGTGGTCGTGTACCAGATCTCCAGGAAGGACAAATTTCCCAAGAAAATGTACATGGGCGTCTGCAGTGTGGGATCCATGAGAACAATGACAATGATGAGGGTGTTTGCTACTAGGGAGAGCAGGTACACGGTGAGAAACATCATGAAGAGCATGTGCTGCAGAGAGGGCGTGCCCGGGAACCCCAGGAAAATGAACTCTGTCACTGCCGTGTGGTTTGTTCCACCCATGTCTCATCTGCTGTCGTCTGAGAGGGAGGAAAGCAGGAAGGAAGATAATGGGAGACTCAATTTGTGTAGTGAATGACTAGTGGAGCCCCTGATAATAAAGGAATTTTGCCTTTGCATGGATTATCTATTTGAATTTCAACATCTATCTCAAAATATCTAAGTTTCATTTGTAAGTATTCCTCTCCCTTTCCTCATCTTTGACTCTTTGTTATAAAAATGATTGGGAATGGTGCTAGGGAGTAGATGGTGAAGCCGATCCTGCCGTTCTGGCATCCAGCGTGTGCTCTGGTTCAAGTTCAGACTGCTGTACTTCCAATCCAGCTCCCTGCTGGAGGCCTAGGAAGGTAGCATAGGATGGCATCCTTAGGCCCCTCACCCACATGGGAGACCCAGAGGAGACCCCTGGCTCCTGGTTTGTACTCGCCCAGCTCTGGCTATTGTAGCCATTGGGAAGTGAACTAGAGGATGAACAATTTTTCTCTCCCTCTCTGTCTGTAACTCTGCCTTTCAAATAAAGAAATAATCTTTAAAACATGATTATGATACCCTGTCTCCCAATATTGGTGAGGAAGGCTCAAGGAAAAGAATTTTCAAGAAGGTCAGAAACTGATCCTAAGAGAAATGTGCACACCCAGGGATGTATTCATGCCCCTGTGATGTGTTCATGCACTTTAGTACCAAAGCAACTGATAATAAGTAAAATTAAATTGAAAAAACATTGTAGTTGCCACAAAAATGTTTTTGTACTCTATAGGAAAAATATATATGAAAAATAATTAAATAACTGCAGTAAGCATCCTGACTTGATATCTGTTTGCCACAGTACAAATGGCGGCAGAAGACAACATGGAGTCAATGAGGCTCCTACCTGTAGATCACCTGTGTTGTCTTTCTGGAAGTTTTGACTGGTGAGGAGGACAGGTACACAGGCATGCTACACAGCATCAAGGCTCCCTATGGGCACTGCTTTTGCACTCAGGACATTTTTGAGTTACATTTTATGAAATTGTAGTGAGACGTGGTGATTGTATTCTGAAATGAAAATATGGTGAGAACAATTTACTGCTCCAATATTTGACCCCACACACATTGATTCCCGAAAAATATAAAGGCTTTGCCATTGTACTCTTTTTTATTTTTTTAAATTTTTTAAATTTTTTACTTTTTTTTTTTTTTGACAGGCAGAGTGGACAGTGAGAGAGAGAGAGACAGAGAGAAAGGTCTTCCTTTTGCCGTTGGTTCACCCTCCAGTGGCTGCCTCGGCTGGTGTGCTGCGGCCGGCACACTGCGCTGATCTGATGGCAGGAGCCAGGTGTTTATCCTGGTCTCCCATGGGGTGCAGGGCCCAAGCACTTGGGCCATCCTCCACTGCACTCCCTGGCCACAGCAGAGAGCTGGCCTGGAAGAGGGGTAACCGGGACAGAATCCAGTGCCCTGACCGGGACTAGTACCTTGTGTGCCAGCGCCGCAGGCAGAGGATTAGCCTATTGAGCCACAGTGCCGGTGTCATTGTATTCTTAATAACAAAAATGAAATTGTCCTTTACAGTCCACGCTATAACTAAAAATGAAAATACATGAAGAACATTGATAACTCAAGAAAAAACTATTTTTATGAAAGGGTTTGCAATGCTTTTAAAAACTTTCCCCTATCTTTGATTATGTGATGCTATAAGAAAACCACTCACAATGCTGTTTTTCACATAAGGACTAAGAACAGAGGGCTTCTCACTGCTGTCATGAAAAGATGCTGCAGGTGCATTTCTCCTACTGGTAACAAAAAGGGCAAATTTATTATTTAGAAAGAAACCATTTAGACTCGGGGACAAACTCAAAACAGTATTACCACCCAGAAGAAAAATGTTTGCTTTTCCTGGAACAGATCGTGGTTGTTCAGTTCAGCCTAAGCTACAAGATTAGGATTGCTTCTTCTTTAGATGTAAACAATCTTAGAAAGGAAGTAGAAGATAGAGAAAAATTCATCCTAAACCAATGAATATGTCTATAAAAATAAACTCTAAAATATAAAATGAATCTACATATGTTTAAATTTCATTTTGTGGTTTCAGTTTGTAAACTGCATGCATTCATCTAAATGAGTATCTGAGGGAGGGAGGGCATTGCTTCAGACCAAAGGAGGATCCTAACTTACAGAAGCACTGGGGTCCTGTCATTTGGCCCACCCCTCCCTCACTAAGTGGGTGGGTGAGAACAGCATGGATAGTGTCCCTGAGATACACTCACTGCTTGTGTTCTGTTTTGTGTTTTCCTAGAATGTTCTGGTATGAGGTCGATCTTCGTCAGTCTCTTTTCCAGCAGGGCTGTGTCTGGGAGCATCCTGTGTCCGTCGCATCACAGGGGAATGGACCAGGCGTCTCCTCACTGCTGTGTCCTGGTGGCCAGACCTGCTGCACTATGGATAAGCTCCAAACTCTTTTATTTTATTATCATTTTTGTTAATTTCAGCTGTGATTTCCCTGTGGCCAGTGAGTAGGGAGAAGTGAGGCCTGCGAGACCCTCGTGAGCAGCACAGGGATCATGAGCCTAGGGCCTGGAGAGCCACCCTCCACCCGGGACCTCCACCTGGGTTCCCCAGGGCCTTTCCTTGTGAGGGTCAGGGAGTGCTCCCTTGGCAGCAGGAGGAGGGAGGGAGCATCAGGAGGCTCAGAAATCTTGTCTCAGGAACCTAGGGAGAGCACTCTCAGTAGCGTCATTAGCTGCCACTGCCTCTGGTGTGCACCCCTCAGAAAGGAGGGCAGAAATCCATCCCAGCTATTCCAGCCACCAGGAGTGTGGGCAGAAAGTTGTGTTTCAGCATTCAAAGTGTAAATTAGAACAACCCTTTGGGCCAGCGCTATAGCACAGTAGGTTAATCCTCTGCCTGCGGTGCTGGCATCCCATGTGGGCACCGGTTCGAGTCCCGGCTGCTCCACTTCCCATCCAGCTCTCTGCTTTGGCCTGGGAAAGCAGTACAAGATGGCTCAAGTCCTTGGACCCTTGCACCCATGTGGGAGACCTGGTAGAAGCTCCTGGCTTTGGCTTTGGATTGGAGCATCTCCGGCCATTGCTGCCAATTGGGGAGTGAACCATCGGATGGAAGACTTTTCTCTCTCTGTCTTCCTCTCACTGTCTGTAACTCTACCTCTCAAATAAGTAATTTTTTTTTAAAAAAAGAACAACCTTCAAGAGTCTTCCTTTCCAATAGCAGAGCTACAAGAGAAATCACACAAGCACGAGACTGGCATCTCTTTATAACAAGTAACTCAAAAAAGGAAACATTCTTCTATTTTTATTTCTATGATTTTTATTTTTTAAAATTGATTCACAAGAATTGTGAGTATCTGTGTGCTCCCATGTGATGATCAGTGCACATGTCCATGGTCTAGGGTTCAACTGTTTTGTCACCACCACTCTACTTCCAGCCTCTGTGAGGTCGGTGTTTTAGATTCCACACATGAATCAGATCATATGACTTTTGTCTTTCTGTGCTTGGCTTATTTCATTTAACATGATGATCTGCAGTTACCTCCATGTAGTTAACAATGACAAGGTTTCATTCTTTTAATGGTTCACTAAGATTCCATTATTTGTACAAGCCACATTTTATATATCCATTAATTTATATATCCATTCATATCATTTTTATTTTCTCCATTTTTTCTTCTTTTTTTCAAAAATCTTTATTTATTTATCTTAAATGCAAAGTTACAGAGAGAGAGAGAGAGAGAATGAGGTCTTCCATCCACCTGTTCCCTCCCAAATGGCCACAGTGGTCAGGGTTCAGCCATTTTAAATCCAGGATCCAAGAGGTTTCTTCTGAGTCTCCCACATGAGTGTATTAGGGGTCCAAGTACTTGGGCCACCTTCTGCTCCTTTCCCAGGCACATTAGCTGGGATCTTGATCAGAAGTGGTACAGCTGGGTCTCGAACCGATGCCCACTGGGATACGATACCTAAGCCATAGATGGTGGTTAAATCTTTTATGCCACATTTCCTGCCCCTCATTCCTTGGCTATTGTGAATAGTGTTGCAATGCACACAGGAAGTGCAGATGTCTCTTCAACATGCTCATCTTGTTCCCTTTGAGTATATTCCCAGTAGTGGGACTGCTCGATCATATGTGGTTCTATTTTTGATTTTTTGTGGCAGCTCCATACTGTTTTCCACAATAGCTGTTCTAATTAGCATCCCACCAACATTTTTAATCAAGAGTTTCTGTTTCTCTGCATGCTCATTGGCAGTTGCAGTCTTTTGTCTGTTTGATAGTAGCCGTGCTACCTGAAGTGAGGTGATTTCTCCTCATGGTTTGTTTTTCATTTCCCTAATGACTTGTGAAGTTGAGCAGTTTTTCATACATCTATTTGCCATTATTATGCCTTCATTTGAGAAATGTTTACTCAGGTCTATTGCCTGTTTTGTAGTCAGATAATTTGTATTTTCGCTAATGAATTGTTCAAGTGGCTTACATAGTTTGCAAATTAACTTCTGTCAGATGAAATCCCATTGGTCCATTTTTCCTTTGTTGCTGTATTTTGGTGCCTTATCCAAAAAAAAAAAAAAAAAAAATCCTTAACCACTCAAATGCCCTGAAGCATTTCCTCTGAATTTCCTCCTAGTCCTTTCAAAGTTTCAGGTGATATATTTAAGTCAAGCTTTAAAATCTGTTTTTGTACATGAGAAGAGATTGGGAAGGAGTCTGATTTCACTCTTCTGTGCATGTAGAGATAATTCTCCAGCACCATTTATTGAGACTTCCTTTCTATAAGCATGTTCTCAGCATCTTGTCAAAAGCAAATGGCTGCAGATGTGTGGGTTTGTTTCTAAGATCTATATTCTATTTCACCTGCTTCTATATCTGTTTTATGGCAATATCATGCTGTATTGATTATTGTAGCTTTATAATGCAATCTGGAGTTAGGGAGTATAATGCATCCTATTTTGTTCTTTTTGCTCAGGATTACTTTGGTCATTTGAGGTCTTTTTTGGTTCCATAGGAATTTTGCTGTTGGATATTTTAGTACTGTGATTTTCCAGATGGAAACACAAAGACAAAGAATTCAACTACACCTTACACCAAGTGCACATAACCCACATCACATCCAGCCACTGCAGAGTGTATACTCTTCTCAACAGCATGTAAAATATTCTTTTTAAAAAAAGATATTTATTTATTTATTTGAAAGTCAGAGTTGCACAGAGAGAGAAGGAGAAGCAGGGAGAGAGAGAGAGAGAGAGAGAGAGAGAGAGAGAGAGAGAGGTGTTCCATCCACTGGTGCACTCTCCAACTGACCACAATGGCCAGAGCTGTGCTGATCTGAAGCCAGGAGCCAGGATCCTCCTCTGGGTCTCCCACGCAGGCGCAGGGGCCCAAGGACCTGGACCATCCTCTACTGCTTTCCCAGTCCACAGCAGAGAGCTGGATCGGAAGTAGAGCAGCTGGGACTCGAAGTGGTGTCCATATAGGGTGCCGGCACTTCACGCAGCAGCTTTACACATTATGCCACAGTGCCAGCCCCGTAAAATATTCTTCAGACTATAATATTTGATATAGACATAAACTAGGACTGACCTGTGTGATACTGGAAATATCACACAGATAACCTCTGATTCTAGCAGCCTGCTGCACCCAGCGCTGCAACCCTCAACAATTTTCTATACCTAGCAATTTAATGAGGGATTGATTTAAACTTGGGAAAGACAAATTTCAAGTATACAGATATGAAGCAAAAATCCATTTAAATTCTACCTATTTATTTATTTGTTTGAAAATAAAAGAGAGGAAGAGGATGAGGGGCAGGGAGAGAGAGAGGGAGAGAGGAAGAGAGGGAGAGAGAATGAATTTCTCCCAAAATGCCTGCAACAGTGTGACAGCCAAGACTGGGCCAGGCTGAAGCTGGGAGCTGAGAACTCAATCCAGATCCCCTACGGGGATGACAGGAACCCAGTCCTGTGATCCGGCACTGCTGAATCCCAGGGTCTGTACTGGCAGGCAACAGGAGCCAGCTTCTTTTTGCTCAGGATTACTCTGGTCATTTAGGATTTTTTTTGTGGTTCCATATGCGTTTTACAGTTGGATATTTTAGTACTGTTATCATCCAGATGGAAAATCAGCAAACAGAAGCATTTGGCTATACTCTATGCTAGTGGACAAAACAGTCAACCATAGAATATTCCATTCAGCCACTGCTGTGTACACAATCTTCTCAACAGCATGTGAAATATTCTCCATGATACATGGTATGGTAGGTCACAAACAAATATCAACAAATTTTTGAAATTGAAATCATACTGAATATCTTTTCCAATCACAGTGAAGTAAAACTAGAAACAAATAAAAAGAAAATCTTTCAAAATGATGAAAATACACGGAAGTCAAACTATTTATTGCTGAACAACCCATCGAGGAAGAAACTAAGACGGAATTGAAAATTTTCTAGAAGCAAGTGGATATGGAAACACAGTATCAAAATGAATTGGATATAGAACAGCTGGCAACACCAACATCAAAAAGCAAAACATTTCTAGTAAAAAACTTACCATTACATATCAAGAGACTAGAAACATAAATAAAATAAAAGGTGCAAAGGAAAACATTACTATTGACATCACAGAAATATTAAGAATCATTAGAGATTATTATGAACAGCTTTATGAAGCAGGTTTGATAATCCCCAGACACAGTACGAAAATTGAATCTTAGAGAAATACAAAACCACAACCGGACAGTATGGAGTAACAAGATTAAATCAGTAACATACATTCTTCCATTTGAGAAAAGCCCAGGACCAAATCGCTTCATTCCTGAATAAGACCAAACATTTAGAAAATAAATAATATGAAAGCTTTTAAAATTATTTCCAACAATTGAAGAGGAAGAAATCCTTCCAATCTCATTTTTTTTTTTTTTTTCGGATAAAGACGTGTTTTATTTTGATGACCGACCCACGGCTTCCCCAAGGCTGCTATGTACAGACAGAAGGGGGCGTCGTTTCTCTTCATTTCTTGGTCTCCTCCTCCTTGGACAGAGTCTTGATGATCTCCTCCTTCTTGGCCTGAAGGCGCTCCTCTCGGCGCTTGCGGGCCTCCTTGGTCTTCGACCTGCGGGCCTCAGCCTGGTCAGCCAGCAGCTTCTTGCGGGCCTTGTCGGCCTTCAGCTTGTGGATGTGCTCCATGAGGATGCGCTTGTTCTTGAACACGTTCCCCTTCACCTTCAGGTACAGGCTGTGGTACATGTGGCGGTCAATCTTCTTAGATTCACGGTATCTCCTGAGCAGCCGGCGCAAAATCCGCATCCTCCTCATCCACTTCACCTTCTCCGGCATCCGGGCGTTGGCTGTACCCTTTCGCTTACCTATGCCCATGTGCCTGCCCTTCCGGCGGGCCAAGGTGTTTTTCTGGCACCGAGCCCGGGAATGGACCGTCACAGGTTTGCGGATGATCAGCCCATCTTTGATCAGCTTCCGGATCTGCTGACAGGAGTTGGCATTGGCGATTTCGTTGGTCTCATTGGGGTCCAACCAGACCTTCTTCTTGCCACAGCGGAGGACGCTGGAGGCGAGCCTCTTCTGAAGCCTGAGCATGCTCATGGCTGCGGCCGAGGCGGCGAAAGGAAAGGACTCCCCAATCTCATTCTACCACACCAGTGTCACTCTGATGCCAAAATCAGACCAAGGCACAACATGGCTGGGATTCTCCAGGCGAATTAGAGCCAACAGAGTTAAGGCATTGTGAAAGGGAAGACACAGAGAAAAAAATGAGAGATGAAAACCTAACAAAGCAACTTAAGTCATTTTTCATGAATCATGAAGTTGCTACCAAACAATCACTTTGAAGGTGGGCAAGATGTCTGCACTCAGAGGTTGTAGAGTGAACGGTGCTGAAAATAGTCATCACCACTGAGCTTGGGATGAGAAACATCCAGAAGGATTTAGTGTGATGATAGCAGTGGTGTGTGAAGTGGGCATTGTTCACTTTCAACATCTGCTTGCTGAAAAGGCTCCAGACCTGAAGCAGTCTGCAGGGGGTAGGGAGGAGCTTCAGCGCAGGCATGGCAGGCAGTGGGTAATGGGGAATGAGCAACAGGTGGATCTCTTGCATCTGAAGTGCCCAGTGACACCCTGTGTGGTGTCCTTCCACTCTGGGTCACACAGGACCCACATGGCCTCCAGGTCTTGAACAGTATTGGCACTGATTGAAGGACTGTGGCACCAGAGCTGGTCCATCTAATCCCCTTCTGGCTATGTGTCCAGCTTCACCATCAAACATGTTGTGAATTGCAATTAAATTATTTATATAAGCTGTGTTGTCAGAGCAGCACATCTGGCTGAAGAACAGCCTGTGGACCTGGTGACAGAACACGGTTCACCTGCAGCCAGCAGTGTACACCTGGCCACAGAGTGTGGTTCACCTGCAACCAGCAGTGTGCAACCAGCATTGTGGGTCTGGTGACAGACTATGGTTTACCTGTAGTCATATGGGAACTTTGGTCAAGGCTCGTTGGCTCCAGAGGTAAACTTATGATTAATCCAGGTTTATGATGGAAGTGACAAAAGAGACATTAACAGAAGCAGATGGTCACTAATGGGGATCTGATTTGACATAGTTTCTTATCTGAAGAAAACCAAATACAATAAATATTTTTTTAAAATACAATTTTAAGGCAACAATATAAGAAAACCCTTAATACCAAAATTGGAATCTTCAGATTTAAAGCATCCTGTGAATTCTAGTAAAAGGGTGGAGCAAAGAAGTTCATTCTGGTGAAAAACACTAGGAATAAAGCACGTGTGGGAGCCAGTGTTGTGGTGCTGTTGGTTATCCTTGCCACACATGCTGTCTGTGTCTCACACTGGAGTGTCCATTCAAGTGCTGGCTGTTAGAACAGCTTCTAATCCAGCTTCCTGTTAATGCACCTGGGAAGGCAGCACACCATGCCCAAGTGCTTGGGCCCCTGCTACCCAAATGGGAATCCAGGATGAATCTTCTGGCCTCAGCCTGGCCCAGACCTGCTGGTTGTGGCCATTTAGAGAGTGAACAAGTAGAGGGAAAATCAATCTCTCTCCCTCTCTTCTCTCTCTCTCTCTGTGTCTCTGTCTCTGTCTCTCTCTGTCTCCCTATCCCTCTTTCTCTCTCATTGCCTTTCAAATAAAAACAAACAAGCAAATAAATAGATAGAAAAACAACAGCATCAACAACAAAACACTTCCAAGGACATAAAACCAAAACATCATATTCTGGAGTTTGTGAATTCTCTGCAATGACACTTACTTCTAAAAAGCACTCTGGCACCTCACAGTTTTATTTCCATCAAAAACTTTAAATAAAAAAAAATCTATGAAATAAGTATGAGATTAAAAATTAGCAGGATTAAGTTTCAGATGATTATGACTTCATGTTCAGAAAACCAGAATTAATATTGGAACAGTCAATTAATACAGCAATTAGCAAAAAGTAACATATTGAGACAGTGAGGCGATTTAATAATTAGCTAAAAGTAACATATTGAGACTGTGAGGTAATTCAATAATTAGCTGTCAGAATAGCTACAATGATAAAGCAATGGGATCCAATATGTATTTAGGCAATTAATATTTACAGACACAATGGAATAAAACACCCAAGGCAAGTTACCAAATTCTCAGTTGAAGCTCTTGGAAAATGAGCTGGGAAGAAGTATAAGATAGTAGTACTATGACAAAAACTGACAAATTTAAATACTTCCCGGAAAGTGGCAAAAGAATGTATGGAGGCTTGAACAACAAATAGGAAACCACCTCTTGTTTTGTACATTGTTTTGTGCATAGCATGTAGAGGGAGAGAAAATCCTTTCTTAGAAAGACCCCAAACCAGAGGCTATTAATAGACCTGTATTGAATAAAGCCTCATGGACAACATATCATTACAAAGAAGGAGAGGAAAAGCAAAACCCATGTTCATGTTTTTGATGTCTAAGATGCATGAGTCACAGACCTTCAACTCCTTGTGTACATTTTAGACAGAGAATGAGAAAGCCCATGAAGATTTCTCATGTAAGTGTTGAGACAAATTGCTCAACACTTTGTAATGTGTCCTCAGCCTGACGGTTAAATGCCTATGCATCTGTGAACACCGTCACCTTCCTCCTGTGTTCATGTAGCAGAGTGAGGGGCACAGGCAGATGCTGGACTGAGCCCACAGTTCCGCAGATAGTTGAGGCCATGCCAGAATCCATTCCTTTCTAGAAGCAATGTGAGAGTTAATTTGGCTGTGCTCCCAGGGCACTTGGGAGTCGCTTTAAAACACAGGAGGAGCATCAGGCGGCCTCCATCTGGGTTACCAGGGTGTGCACGTCTGCCAGCATCCCGGGAGGGTCACTCTGGCCATGCCCTGACACCCTGGGCACATGAAGTCAGAGGCTCTCTCCTGTGCTATTTCCTTGTCTGCGTTGTGTTCACGGGGCTGCCTGGAAGCCGGCAGAGGCACCAGGAGAGTGAACAGTGATGGCTGTGGTCATCTCCTAGCTGCCTGCATGAATGTAGGGAGAGGCCCCACCCAGCCACCTCGCCAAGCCAAAGGACGTGGACATGTTACACCCCAGAGGGTACAGCAGTGTGGGTGAGACAGGGGATAGAGGGAGAAAAGGAGAGAGAAGAGAGGGAGATCTTTCAGCTACTAGTTCATTCTCCAAATAGGGGCAGCAGGCAGGACTGGGCTATGCTGAAGCCACGACCAGGATCTCCCATCTACAAAACCTTCCTGGGGCAGGACTGGGTTGTTGGAGGCCCTGACAGGGAGAAGACACAGTGGCACCCAGGGCTGTGGAGCGAAGCCACGTGTGCTCCCATCCCCCCCTGCCAGGGGTGATGTGGGACTCATCACCCAAGTTCCCCGCTGCTCCCATCTTCTGTCTGATGGCAGGTAGGGGTTGCTTTAGCCTTGATGTCATTTACAGTGATTGACATCTGAGGACATCTCAGAGTGGGGCTGGGGAGGCTGGTGTCTTGGATTTACTGTCCCAGTGGTGTGTGTCTTGTGCTGTGGCTCATTCCGGCTTGAACCAAGGTGCCAGCGGCTCACTTCCTTCAGTCTTTTACCCTGAAGAAAGTGAAAGAGCCACCCATGGTTCTGGAAGGGTCCAAGAGATCCCTGAGAACTCCCTGGTGCACCCTCCTTGCCTGGCCTGGGGATCTGACCTTGAATTACCCAGAACAGAAGAGCTGAGAAGCTCACAAAGAAATGTCCTGTGAGCCCAGAGATCTTGTCAGAGGCCACCACCATCCAGTGAGCTCTGACTTTGTTCCTGTTGGGATTTGCTGTAACTGGTTTATCTGAATGAATGGAATGGAAAGGCACACGCTTGGTTCAAGCTAGTGAAGAATTTGCTGTGGTCAGAATCTTCCCGGAGGAGGGGGAGAGGAATCAGCCTTGAGTCCAGGCAGGTGCTCAAGCTTCAGCCCATGTCACACCCAGCTGCAGCGTGGTTCTGCACAGCTTGGGGCACCCCTCTCCCCCCACCTGCTGGGTGCTCCCACAGCAGGGGCTGCGTCTCCAACCCCTTGCCAGCTCAGTCTTCATGCTGTGCTGCTGACCCAGGGCCACGCTTGGGAGACCACTGAGCATAGGTCTTTCTATGAGCAAGAACAGTCTGCATCATTGAAAAATGCCTACAACTTCCAGAAGTTTGAAAGAATTCCGAGGCAGTACTAGAGACATGGTTTTGTCCATTGCTGAGATCTGCCTGCTGTAAAGTCCTTCACAGCTTTTCTTGACTCGGGCTAAGAAGACAGGAGGCATGGAGGAAGCTGTTATTTGGGAAAGGTGGAGTAAACTCAGATGACCTATCCAGGGACACAGAACTAGGAAATGCTTGTTTAAAAATTGGTTTAGGGCTGATAATTCCAGAGCCCAAGGCTTCTCTCCTCTACATTTCCACTCAAAGTCTGAAGTCCCGTGGGATTCAGATCTGGAGAACCTTAACCTTGGCGGTGCCACGGGGGTGTGGTTTGGGCCACACTGCTGCCCTAGCAGTGACAGGTGCAGTGTGGGTGCTGGGATGAGAGGACCTCACGGGAGGCATCCCAGTGTTGGGCTTGGTGACCTCACACTTTCTGCCAGAAGCACCTGGGAGTGGGAGAGGGGCAGTTAACAGCAAAGGCAGGGGAGCCGTGGGCAGTCTCAGGCTGCCACTTTGCTTTTCGAGACATTGGCTAAAGGCCAGAGCGATGGCCAACCTCACCTCTGGCAGCTCCTTCCTCCTGCTGGGCTTTCCCAGGGCCCAGGAGCTCTGGCTTCTCCAGGCTGTGCTCTTTCTGGTGCTTTACCTGGCAGCTCTCCTCGGGAACCTTCTCATCCTCACCCTTGCCACTGTGGACTGCCGGCTGCACACCCCCATGTACTTCTTCCTGAGGAACCTGTCCCTCCTGGACATGTGCCTCATCTCCGCCACGGTTCCCAAGTCTGTCGCAAACTCTCTGACGAGACAAAACACCATCTCCTTCCTCGGTTGCGTGGCACAGGTATTCCTCTTCTTCCTCTCGGCCACGACAGAAGTGGCTCTGCTCACGGCCATGTCCTACGACCGCTATGTTGCCATCTGCCACCCACTCAGGTATGAGATCATCGTGAGCCAGGGAGCCTGCGTGCAGATGGCGTCCTCTTCCTGGGTCAGTGGGGCTCTCAATGCAGTCCTGCACACGGCGGCCACGTTCTCTGTGCCCATGTGTGGGCCCCTCCACGTCCACCAGTTCTTCTGTGACGTCCCACAGCTGCTGTCCCTGGCCTGTTCCCGCAACGTGGGGGAATTGGTGGTGATAGGGCTCAGCCTAGCACTGGACTCTGTGTGCTTTGTGTTGATTGACGCTTCCTACATCCACATCTTCTCTGCAGTCCTGAAGATGCCCTCCCGGAAGGGCAGAGCCAAAGCTTTCTCCACGTGCCTGCCTCACCTTGCAGTTGTGACTCTCTTCCTCTCTTCTGGCTTTTTTGCCTATTTACGCCCTCTGCCCTCGAATCCCTCACTCTGGGATTTGCTGGTTTCTGTGTTCTACACGGTGGTGCCACCCACCGTGAATCCCCTCATCTACAGTCTGAGAAATAAGGACATGAAGGAGGCATTGAGAAAACTGCTCAGGGGTAGATTCCGCCCTTCAGGTTAGAAGAGTGAGACTCACGCACCCCCTGGTCACCTCATTCACTACGTTATTATCTGAATAATCTGGTTATATAGCGTGAGCACGATATTGTGTATTTAAAGTAAGAATTATTGTATGAAAAGGCCACTTGTACTCATGCACATTCTACTTTGGAAGGCTCCTCATGGCCAGGGAAAGAGGGTGGCCCTCCACTGGTGATGGAGCAGTCGACGTGGACCTTCCATCTGTCATCCTTCGTGTGTGACAAGTGATGTATGAACAGGAACCGGGACATCAGAAGCACACTTGGGGCCTCCCAGGTGAAGCGAACGCAGGGCCATTCTTAGCAGTATCCGCAAAGACACGTGGGATGATTTGCATGACCTACTCTGAGGTGAAAGGGAATGGAGGTGATGGTTGTATAGCCTGAGGTTGTGCTTAACGCCACTGAGTCAGGGAAGTGAAAATGCTTGCTTTTGTGTTATGTGACTCAGCATTGCCACCAGCTTAAAAACAAAACAGAAGAGTCTATTGTCCATCCATCTTTCTCTTTTGTTTCCCAAACTTACTGTATGTGTTTTCTGATGTGGCTGTGTTCTTGCAGTCTAGTGAGAAGACACAGACACATCAAAACTCAACCTTATGGAGGACATGGATGTCAGGGCACAGAGGTAATTTGATTTTCTGGAAAACGAAAGACCCTGGAAAAGGAGAAGACCAAAGCGAAAACAGAAGAGAGTGCAAAACCAAACCAAACCCAGCAAAGGGTCTGAGTTGGTAACTAAAGTGAAGTTGCTCTGGAAGCGCTGAAGTGTGCAGAGTGGATGGTGGCAACTCCGGATGGAAACAGACTTCAGACACGCATAGAGAGGGAGAGAGTTGGAGGTTGGGTAGAAGGAGGGAGAGAGGGAGTCTGATCACTTGTTGCTTTGTAGATGAAGTTGCTATAGGCGCTTCTTTGTCACATATCTAAGTCCTAAATATGTTCAGAGAGACAAAAACAGCAGCCACGAAAATTGAGTTTATAACCAATAAGAGCTCCAGGTACTCATAACTTCTGGATGCACAGCCCACTGTGGCCCAGGGCTATTTTACCAGTCCTGAGCTTAGTGTGTCTGTTGTTTGCCTGAGATTATCCCAGACTGTCAGTTTCTCTTGACAGGCTGAGACATTTCTTAGTACCATTGGCCTGATCAATGTAAAACTTACTTCAGTTGTAATTTGACATTTATTTATCCAAGTCTTTCACGCATGTCTCTTTATGAGCAAACTGTGTCACTCTCCACACTTAAATCTCTAATGTCGAGCTGAGCATACAAATGACTGGGTATTTTCAGCAAATATTTATTGAACATATGGGTTACTGGACAATACCCACATCTTTTCTTATAGCACCAGAAGTTTGCTTTTACCCTTACCTTAGAACTTGTTGATCTCTTGTTTGAACTATGCATGTTGGGTATATTCGTAACGTCTAGAGATTGTTTAATGTATTTGTCAGTGTGAGAGATTCTAAACATCTGGTAGAAAAATATCATTAAAATTGATTCAAAATGGATTTATGAACAAATTCAATTTTCAATGCCCTTGAACCTAGGATTGTTTCTGTTTGTAATGAGTTGCCTTGCAATTCATTCCAACAGTAATGGATTAGTTTTGCATTTAAAAATGCTATATTTTTTCAGATTTGACAATTTAAAAAATATTTATTTATTTATTTGACAGTCAGAGTTACAGAGAGGCAGAGGCAGAGAGGGAGAAGCCTTCCCTCCACTGGATCACTCCCCAGATGGCTGCAATGGCTGGAGCTGAGCCTATCTGAAGCCAGGAGCCAGGAGCTTCTTCCAAGTCTCCCACTCGAGTGCAGGGGCCCAAGGACTTGGGTCATCTTCCACTGCTTTCCTAGACTGGGACTCAAAATGGAGCCCATATGGGATTCTGGCACTGCAGGCAGCAGCTTTACCTGCTATGCCACAGCGCTGATCCTGAGATTTGACATATTTTTTTTTTTTTTGACAGGCAGAGTGGACAGTGTGAGAGAGAGACAGAGAAAAAGGTCTTCCTTTTCTGTTGGTTCACCCCCCAATGGCCGCTGCTGCCAGCGAGCTATGACTGGCACACTGCGCTGATCCGAAGCTAGGAGCCAGGTGCTTCTTGTGGTCTCCCATGTGGGTGCAGGGCCCAAGGACTTGGGCCATCCTCCACTGCACTCCTGGGCCACAGCAGAGAGCTGGACAGGAAGAGGAGTGACCGGGACAGAATCTGGTGCCCTGACCAGGACTAGAACCCAGTGTGCAAGCGCCACAGGCAGAGGATTAGCCTATTGAGCCTTGGTGCTGGCCTGATTTGACAATTTTTAACATTTTTCCATATTCACTTCATATATGAATACTATATACCTACAAATTCATATGATTTTTCTTGGAAGTTGAGATATTAATTAATGTAAAGTGAAATTCAAGACAGTGATCATAAAATGAGGAAAGAAGGGCTTATTATTATGTAGAGGGTACAATTCATATTATTTATGACTTTTTATATGCCAAATAATATGACATCCACACATTTTGTTGCAAATGTCATCTTTTTATTTAATCAATTTATTTTTTAATGAATACAAATTTACAACTTAGGAAATATAGTTATTCTTCCCTCCATAACCGCCCTCCCACCCACACTCCTACCCCACTTCCTCTTCCCTCTACTCTTTCCAGTCCCATTCTCCATTAAAATTCATTTTCAATTAACTTTGAACACAGAAGGCCAACTCTGTACTAAGTAAATATTTCAACAATTTGCACACACATGCACGCACATACACACACAAATTGTTTGAGAACAAGTATCACAGTTAACTCTCATAATACTACTCATCGAGAACAGAGGTCCTGCATAGGAAGTGCGTGCACAGTGACTCCTGTTGTTAATTTAACAATTAACACTCTTATGTATGACATCAGTGACCACCCAAGGCTCTTGACATGAGCTGCCTATGTGATGGAAGCCTTTTGAATCCACAAACTCCATCAGTATTTAGACAAGGCCTCCCTTCAAAGAAAAGTACATCCTTCTTTGATGGCCACTTCTTTCTGCTGGGAATCTCACTCACAGAGATCTTCATGTAGAATATTTTTGCCAGTGTCTTGGCTTTCCATGCCTGAAATGCTCTCATGGGCTTTTCAGTCAGACCAAGAAGACTTAATGGCTGACTCTGAGGACAGAGTGTTACTTAAAGCAATGGTCATTCTATGTGTCTGCTGCATGGACTGTTTCCCATGTTGGAGCATTCCCTTATTTTTAATTCTATTATAATTACCTGACACTTCAATTTGTTAAGTCAACAACAGGAGTCACTGTGCACTTACTCCTCATGTAGGATCTTTGTCCTTAGTGTGCTGTACATTGAGATTTAATGCTATAACTAGTACTCAAACAGTATTTTTCACTTTATGTTTCTGTGTGGGAGCAAACTGTTGAAATCTTTACTTAATGTATGCTAAACTGATCTTCTGTATATAAAGAGAATCGAAAATGAATCTTGATGTGAATGGAAGGGGAGAGGGAGTGGGAAAGGGGAGGGTTGTGGGTGGGAGGGACGTTATGGGGGGGAAGTCATTGTAATCCATAGGCTGTACTTTGGAAATTTATATTCATTAACTAAAAGTTAAAAAAAAATAAAAAAAAATTACCTGACACTTGATCCTATTTATATGTTCACTTTAACACTTAATGTGATCACTTTGACACCTTAGATGGCATTTTTGTCACTCAGCTTAATGGAATTTGGAGTCCTAAGACAAGTTTTTATACTGTACCCTTAGAAGTTAGTTCTTAGGAACATGTATGTAGAACTATACAGCTTTACAGTTATAAATTTCCTCCTCCCTCTTTTATTCCCGCTCTTGTTTCTTACTGAGGTCTATCCTTTTTTTTTTTTTATCTTTTATTTAATGAATATAAATTTCCAAAGTACGACTCATGGGTTACAATGGCTTCCCCCCCCATACCGTCCCTCCCACCCACAACCCTCCCCTTTCCCACTCCCTCTCCTCTTCCATTCACATCAGGATTCATTTTCGATTATCTTAATATACAGAAGATCAGCTTAGTATAGAGGTCTATCCTTAATTGACTTTATACACATATGACTAACTCTATGTTAAGTAAAGAGTTCAACAAATAGTAAGAAGGGAAAAAAGTGAAAAAATAAAAAGAATACAAGTGTTCCTTGACAGTTAATACAAGGGCAGCTCAAATCATCCCTTCTTGATGTGTCAATTTCACTTCTGCAGATTTTGTTTTATGTGCTCTATTCATTCTTGCAGATCAGGGAGAACATATGGAATTTGTCCCTTTGGGACTGGCTTATTTCACTAAGTATGATGTTTTTCAGATCATCCATTTTGTTGCAAATGACCAGAAACAAGGATGTCAAATATCTCTATGATGAAAATTACACAACATTAAAGAAAGAAATAGAAGATACAAAAAAATGAAAAAATCTTCCATGTTCTTTGATTGGAAGGGTCATTATCATCAAAATGTCCATTCTTTTGAAAACAATTTATAGATTCAATGTGATACCAATCAAAATACCAAAGTCATTCTTCTCAGATCTAGAAAAATGATGCTGAAGTTCATATGGAAACACAGGAGACCTTGGATAGGTAAAGCAATCTTATGTAACTAAACCAAAGCCAGATGCATCACAATTCCAGATTTCAAGATATTCTTCAAGGCAGTTATAATCAAAACAGCCTGATACTGGTACAAAAACAGATGGATAGACCAAAGGAGCAGGATAGAATCACCAGAAATCAATCCAAGCATCTACAACCAACTTATATTTAACCAAGGAGTTAACACCAATCTCTGGAGCAAGGACAGTCTCTTCAACAAATGGTGCTGGGAAAACTGGATTTCCACATGTAGAAGTATGAAGCAAGACCCCTACCTTAATCCACTCAAAATGGATTAAAGATCTACATCTCCGACATGACACCATAAAATTATTAGAGAACAGTGGAGAAACCCTGCAAGACATTGGGATAGGCAAAGAGCTCTTGGAAAAGACCCCAGAAGCACAGGCAGTCAAAGCCAAAATTAACCAATAGGATTGCATTAAATTGAGAAGTTTCCATACTGCAGGAGAAACAGTGAGGAAAGTAAAAAGGCAACCAACAGATTGGGAGAAATTATTTGCAAACTATGCAACTGATAAAGGACTAATAACTAGAATATACAAAGAGATCAAGAAACTCCACAACAACAAAACAAACAACCTAGTTAAGAGATGGGCAAAGAACTTAAAAGACATTTTTCTTTCTTTATTTTTTTTTTTTTATATATTTGACAGGTAGAGTTACAGACAGTGAAAGAAAGAGACAGAGAGAAAGGTCTTCCTTCCATTGGTTCACTCCCCAAATGGCTGCCATGGCTGGCACCGCACCAAAGCCAGGAGCCAGTTGCTTCCTCCTGGTCGCTCATGCGGGTGCAGGGGCCCAAGGACTTGGGCCATCTTCCACTGCCTTCTCGGGCCACAGCAGAGAGCTGGACTAGAAGAGGAGCAATCGGGACTACAACCTGGCACCCATCTGGGATGCCGACGCCACAGGCGGAGGATTAACCAAGTGAGCCATGGTGTAGGCCCCAAACAGACATTTTTTCAAAGGAGGAAATCCAAATGGCCGGCAGACACATAAAAAAATGTTCAGGATCACTAGCTGTTAGAAAAATGCAAATCAAAACCACAATGAGGTTCCGCCCCACCCCAGTTACAATGGCTTTCATACAAAAATCAACAAACAACAAATGCTGGCGAGGATGTGGGGAAAAAAGTACCCTCATCCACTGTTGGTGGGATTGTAGCCACTATGGAGGACAGTGTGGAGATACCTCAAAAATCTGAATATAGACCTACCATATGACCCAGCCATCCCATTCCTGGGAATTTACCCAAGGGAAATTAAATCAGTAAATAAAAAAGTTATCTACACCCCCATGTTTATTGCAGCTCAATTCACAATAGCTAAGACATGGAACCAAACTAAATGCCCATCAACTGAAGACTGGATGAAGAAATTATGGAATATGTACACTATGAAATACTACACAGCAGCCAATGTCATATCTTTAATCATCATTTATTTGTTTATATGTGTGTGAAGTAAGGAACCTAAAATTTTATTCCAAGTGCAAAGTGAGTTATGCTTAAGAAATTAATTACACTTTTAGATTTCATTAAAATATAAATATTGACAATGCTACAAAATACATATGAATCTGCTTTAAATTTCTCTTCAGCTGTTCCATTATCATTTTCTTGCTGCAAATCACCCTTATTGGATTGTGACAGCATTCAGCAAGACTAAAACCCTTCTGAGGCTCAATCCTCTTGTTAGAATTCAAACATAATCACAGCTATTCTCTACATTTGTGTTTTCTATGGCATTACTTTGTGTGGTTGTACGATATGGTTGTGGGCTGTGGCTATTTCAAAAATTTTCTTTTCTTGTGGGAATTGAAATTTCCTACTGGGTGATCAGGGCAAGGAATAGCAGTTAATGGGTCAGAAAAAGAGAAATTTCCTGAACGAGACTGCCCTGGGTGTCTGCACCCACATCTCCCTCTTACCTCTGAGCCACAGGACTTGCAGTGTCCTGTCTCTCATCCACCTGTGCTGTGCATGTCCAGGAAGGAAAATGTCCACAGCTAAGTCTGGAACTGATTTTTCCTACCCTGAAACACAGGTGAAAACAAATAACCAAGTCAGTTGTCTTGTAATTAATCTAGTGTGCTGTCTTAATGGTAATTACTGTTGGAAAGATACCTGGAAGTCGTATTTATGAATGTGTTTGGGAGACTACACCTGGCTTCTCTGGTTTGCTGAGGTAACAAACTTAGAATTAATCAATATACAGATGCAGCCCATTGAAACATGGCAATGACTGCTATATGGTGATGCAGTATAAAATGGAGACATCTCTTCACACATATTTATGTAAGGCCGTGGCCCTCAGGGGTGGTGTGGAGACCTCATACACTCAGTCTGGGTTACGGTCCATTTTAATATGGTGGTGAGGAATGAATTCTGGTCTCCGAATTCACGCTGGGCCAATGTCTTGCAGGATCCCTACTGGATTTCAGATGTACCGAGATCCACTGTCATCAGGGAGCTTAGGTTTCACAAAGAATTTTTGAGGGGTGGATAAACAATGTTTCCTGTTGCATAATCTCAAGCACTTCAGCTGGCTACTGAGATATTTAGAGAAGAAAAGATTAAATTCATTAAACCTACATCACTATTTTCTTTCTCAGAAGCTACTAAGTGGTTGAGAGGCTATAGCAAATTATTTAAGGATTTGAAGTTGACAAAAGTGGGAGATGGTGTTGTGGCGCCATGTGTTAAGTTGCCATTGGCAATGCCAGCATCCACTATGAATGCCAGTTTGAGGCCCTGCTGCTCCGCTTCCAGTTCAGCTTCGTTAATGCATCTTGGGAAAGCAACGGAAGGTGGCCCTAGTAACTGGGTCTCTGCCCACCCTCCAAGTCCCCCGTGTAGGAGAACTGGATGGAGTTTCTGGCTCTTGGCTTCAGCCTGGTCCAGCACTGGCTATTGTAGTTATTTCGAGAGTGAAACAGCAGATGGAAGATCTCTCTCTCTCTCTCTCTCTCTCTTTCTATGTGTCTCTACCCTTCTCTCTCTCTCTCTTTGTCACCCTCTCTTTGAAATAGTAAATGAATCTTTTAAAAAGTAATAATGACAAAAGGAAATACAAATTAATGTGGAGAACTGGACTACCTCAGGTGAGAAAGAAAGGAAAGGAATGAAAGTGAAGTATTACCCATGGTAGGTGGCATAGTCCTCGAGAATATAATATTTGAAGGCATGCCATCATACCCTACTAGGACTGACCTGTGCAATGCTAGAAATCCTCACACAGATAACCTCTGAATCCAGCAGCCTCCTGCACCCAGCACCACAACCCTCTACAACTCTGTACACCTAGCAACTTAATGAGGGGTTCATCTAACCTTGGGAAAGACAGTCTTTCAAGTATATAGATATGAAGCAAATATCCGTTTAAATTTTACTTATTTATTGACTAGAAAATAAAAAAAGGAGAGGAAGATGGAGAGACAGAGAGAGAGAGAGAGAGAGAGTACTCCCATATTCTGATTTCTCACAAAATACCAGGGGAGTGACTGCTTTATAACTGCATTTCACATAAGTAAAATTTATCTTTAAATAAATGAATAAATGAATGTATAAAATAAAATATTCAGCCAGTGCCACAGCTCACTAGGCTAATCCTCCACCTGTGGCGCAGGCATCCCGGGTTCTAGTCCCAGTTGGGGCGCCAGATACTGTTCCGGTTGCTCCTCTTCCAGTCCAGCTCTTTGCTGTGGCCCAGGAAGGCAGTGGAGGATGGCCCAAGTGCTTGGGCCCTGCACCCGCATGGGAGACCAGGAGGAAGCACCTGGCTCCTGCCTTTGGATAGGCGCAGCAGCAGTGCGCCGGCCATGGCGGACTTTTGGGGGGGGTGAACCAACTTTCTCTGTCTCTCTGTCTCTTTCTCTCTCATTGTCTAATTCTGCCTGTCAAAAATAAATAAATAAAATATTCGATACTTAACATTTTAAAATATGGTTTGAGAATCTACTCTGAAGTGCTCACTTCTGTTGATAACTCAAAACTCCTGCCTGTTTCTGAACAAGAGAAATCTCTTTTGTTGCAGGAATTTCCTGAACGCATTCTTCACATCTTTGTTTCTCAGAGTGTAAATGAGAGGGTTTACCAGGGGGGTGATCACACAGTAGAACACCGAGACCACCTTCCTGGTGGTGAAGTTGTACTTGGAGGGAGGGCGGACATAGGTAAAGATGATAGTGCCGTAATAGATGGTGACTATGGAGAGGTGGGAGGCGCATGTTGAGAAAGTCTTCTTGCGAGCCTCCCGGGAAGACAGCCTGATGATGGTGACCACAATGTTGCTGTAGGAGGACATAGTGAGAAGGAAGGAATTGAAAATCACAACAGATGTGCAAGTGTAGCCCACGGCCTCCACCAGGGAAGTATCTGAGCAGGAGAGCTTAAAAATGGGATCTGCATCACAAAAGAAATGGTTGATCTTCTGGGGACCACAGAAGTTCAGATGAGTGATGAGTATGGTAGGTGGAAGGGGGGCAATGAAGCCCCCAATCCAAGACCCTGCAGAGCAGCGCAGGCAAATCTGGAGGCTCATGAGGAGGGAGTAGCGCAGAGGGTTGCAAATGGCCACGTAGCGGTCATAGGCCATCATGGCCAGCAGGATGCACTCTGTGGCCCCCATGGAGAAGAAGAAGTAGTACTGGGTGATGCAGCTAGCGACGGAGATGGTGACAGCCTTGGAGAGGAGGGTGGCCAGTAATTTAGGCACCGTGGTGGTCGTGTACCAGATCTCCAGGAAGGACAAATTTCCCAAGAAAATGTACATGGGCGTCTGCAGTGTGGGATCCATGAGAACAATGACAATGATGAGGGTGTTTGCTACTAGGGAGAGCAGGTACACGGTGAGAAACATCATGAAGAGCATGCGCTGCAGAGAGGGCGTGCCCGGGAACCCCAGGAAAATGAACTCTGTCACTGCCGTGTGGTTTGTTCCACCCATGTCTCATCTGCTGTCGTCTGAGAGGGAGGAAAGCAGGAAGCAAGAATGGATGATTCTGTGTGTGTAGGAAATTAGTAATGGAGCCCCTGATAATAAAGGAAATGATGGCTTTGCATGGATTATCTTATTTGATTTTCAAAAATATTTCCAATAACTCACTGTTTAGAAATAGAGGAACTCAGGTTTCAGAGCTTTTCCCTCAGTGGCCCCCCCCCCGCATATGGCATGGTAGGTCTGGAGCCCAGGAGGGCTGTCTGCAAGGACCACTGCCCACACTGGTACATGAGTGTGGGTATGGGGAAGAGCATGGCCCTGGCCCCCATAATGATCTCACAACCTGAAGTGAACACAGCAATGGGGAAATCAACAATGAAGCCAGCAGGGTCCGGTGACTGGGGCCTCTGCATTCACAGTTACTCCGTGGAGAGAGACTCCTGATGAATGAAACGTTGCTTACAGCATTCAACCCATGACCCCTGGTGCACCTGTGAGTCAGAGATGGGAGGGAGATGGCTGCAGGAGTAAACCCCATCTGCAGGACAAAGTGAGGGTCGACTCAATATGGCTAAGAAGTTTCATTCTTGAGTATTCGTCTGCCTTTCCTCATCTGTGACTGTTTGTCTTAAAAATGGTTGTGACACCCTGTCTCCCTGTATTGGTTAGGAAGAGTCAACAAATACATTTTAAAGAAGGTCAGAAAACTCGTCCTTCGATAAATGGGCACCACCAGCGATGTATTAATGCTCTTGTGATGTGTTCATGCACTTCAGTGCTGAAACTTCCAGAAAATAGGTGAAAGTAAAGTGAAAAGTCATCCTAGCAGCCATAAAAATGTTTTTGTTTTTGTCTAGACAAATACCTTTCCAACATATTTAAATTTCTGCAGTAAAGATCCAGACGTGACATCTGTGTTCACAGTGGAAATGGCAATGGAAGGTAACATGGAGGTGTCAGTCTCCTGCCTGTAGATGCCTGTGTCCATTTGTTCTCAAGGTTTTGAGTCATTGACACTGTAGGAAAGCAGGTGCCTGTGCATTGTGCACTGTCTGGGCACTCCCTGTGGGGCTCCATTCATATGGCACAGACCTTTTTCAGCTACACTTTCTGAAATTACAATTTATGCCTGGTGAAGGCGTCCTGGGATGTTTGTGTGGTGGGGACATTTTACTGTCCCAATTCCTGACCCAATTTCCAACAGCATTAAGGCTTTGCCCCATTGTTGTTAATGCCAGAAATGAAATTGTCCTTTTTGCATTCTATACTTTAACTTTACTTATTTTGAAAATCATCAGTTCCAGCCATTGCAGCCATTTGGGGAGTGAAGCAGTGGATGGAAGACCTCTCTCTCTGCCTCTGCCTCTCTGTAACCCTGCCTTTCAAATAAATAAATAAATCTTATAAAAGAAAACTTTTCATGAAAGAACTTGAACTGCTTTTTAAAATATTCTCCCATATTTTTGATTATTTGCTGCCATAAGAAAAACACTCAGAGCTATTTGATTCATACAAGAACAAAGCTCCATAGGCTTTCTGGTTACTATCATGAAAAGCATACTGAGGACCACTCTCTCCTATTATTCACAAAATTCGAAAAGAAAATACCTAGAGCTTGTGGAAAGAATCAGACCAGTGTTACCATAAAGAAGAAGATGAAAAAAACCCCTTTGCTTTACTTAAATCAGATCATGATTGTTCAGTTCAGCCTAAGCTACAAAAGGATTGCACATTCCTCAGATGTGAACAATCTTAGAAAGGAACTAGAAGATAGAGAAAATTCATCATAATCAATCAATACAGCTATGAAAATGAACTAACACTTATATATAAAGAGGAATCTACATACATTTAAATTTTATTTTGCGGTTTCAGTTTGTAAACTGCATGCATTTATCTAAACGAGTATCTGAGGGAGGGAGGGCATTGCTTCAGACCAAAGGAGGATCCTAACTTACAGAAGCACTGGGGTCCCGTCATTTGGCCCACCCCTCCCTCACTAAGTGGGTGGGTGAGAACAGCATGGATAGTGTCCCTGAGATACACTCACTGCTTGTGTTCTGTTTTGTGTTTTCCTAGAATGTTCTGGTATGAGGTCGATCTTCGTCAGTCTCTTTTCCAGCAGGGCTGTGTCTGGGAGCATCCTGTGTCCGTCGCATCACAGGGGAATGGACCAGGCGTCTCCTCACTGCTGTGTCCTGGTGTCCAGACCTGCTGCACTATGGATAAGCTCCAAACTCTTTTATTTTATTATCATTTTTGTTAATTTCAGCTGTGATTTCCCTGTGGCCAGTGAGTAGGGAGAAGTGAGGCCTGCGAGACCCTCGTGAGCAGCACAGGGATCATGAGCCTGGGGCCTGGAGAGCCACCCTCCACCCGGGACCTCCACCTGGGTTCCCCAGGGCCTTTCCTTGTGAGGGTCAGGGAGTGCTCCCTTGGCAGCAGGAGGAGGCAGGGAGCATCAGGAGGCTCAGAAATGTTGCCTCAGGAACCTAGGGAGAGCACTCTCAGTAGCGTCATTAGCTGCCACTGCCTCTGGTGTGCACCCCTCAGAACAGGAGGGCAGAAATCCATCCCAGCTATTCCAGCCACCAGGAGTGTGGGCAGAAAGTTGTGTTTCAGCATTCAAAGTGTAAATTAGATCAACCTTCAAGATTCTTCCTTTCCAATAGCAGAGCTACAAGAGAAATCACGTAAGCACTAGACTGGCATCTCTTTATAACAAATAACTCAAAAAAGGAAACATTTTCCTGTTTTTGTTGCTATAATTTTTATTTTTTAAAATTGATTCACAAAAATTGTCGATATTTGTGTGCTCCCATGTGATGATCAGTGCACATACCCATGGTCTAGGGTTCAATTGTGTGGTCATCACCACTCTACTCCAAGCCTCTGTGAGGTCAGTGTTTTAGATTGCACACATGAATCAGATCATGGAACTTTTGTCTTTCTGTGCTTGGCTTATTTCATTTAACATGATGATCTACAGTTACTTCCATGTAGTTGACAATGACAAGTTTTCATCCTTTTAATGGCTCACTAATATTCTGTTATTTGTTCAAGCCACATTTTATTTTATTTATCCATTCATAGTTGATGGGCATTTTTGTTCTTTCCTCCTTTTCTTTCTTTCTTTCTTTCTTTCTTTCTTTCTTTCTTTCTTTCTTTCTTTCTTTCTCTCTCTCTCTCTCTCTCTCTCTCTCTCTTTCTTTTGTTCTTTAGTCTTTATTTATTTATCTGAAAGGCAGGGTTACAGAGAGAGAGAGAGAGAGAGAGAAAGAGATCTTGCATCTACTGGTTCCCTCCCAAATGGACACAATGGCTGGGGTTTCCAGGCCAAATCCAGGAGCCAGGTGCTTTCTTCTGGGTCTCCCACATAGGTGGCAGGGGCCCAAGTACTTGGGCCATCTTCTGCTGCTTTCTCAGGTACATTAGCAGGAATCTGGACCAGAAGTGGAGTGGCTGGTATTTGAACTAATGCCCATTGGGCATCAGTGTAAAGTTGGCTTCCTTTTTTACAATCTGGGTTCCATGTATTTATTTCTTATTATTTGTGCAAGGACTCCCAGTGTCATCTTGAATAAACCTGCTGAACTTATGCATCACAGCCTTGTTCCACATCTTGGAGATTAAGCTTCCACTTTTTACACATTTAGTAAGGGCTTCGATACTTGGCCTTTATTATGATGAAGAACATTCCTTTTATACCCAATTTATTCTAACCTTTTTCTTGCAAATCATGAAGGCATTTTGTATTTTAGCAAATGACGTTTCTGCATCCTTTGGGATGATCATGAGGTTTTTGTCCTGCGTTGTGTATCATATCTACTGATTTGCATATATTAAACCATCCTTGCATCACTGGGAAATATCCCAGTTGATCACAGTGAATAATCTCGGTAGTATGCTGTTGGATTCAGCTTGCTAGTATTCTGTTGAAGATTTTTGCATCCATGTTCATCAAGGTTGTGGGCCTTATCTTTGTCTTCTTTTGTATATTTGTCTGATTTTGATATCAGGGTGACACTGGCTTGGTAGAATGGGATTCAAAGAATCTTTGTTGGAAATAATTTAAGAAGCTGTAGTATTATTTATTCTTTAACTGCTTGGTCATATTCAGGAGTGAAGTCATTTGGTTATGGGCTTTTCTCAAAAGGGATAATGTGTATTACTGACTGAATCGACTGAATCCTGTTACCAATTCTTTTTCTGTTCAAGATTTGTATTTATCCATGATTCAATCTTGGTAACTCACATGTATCTAGGGATTATCAAATCTGGTGGTATGGAGTTGTTTATTTAATCTTTAATGATTCTTCTCACTGGGTCATTCAAGAAATCAAAAGAGAAATCAAAAACTTTCTGGAAGTAATGAAGACAACAACACAACATATCAAAACTTATGGGATACAGCAAAAGCAGTATTGAGAGGCAAATTTATAGCAATAGGTGCCTATACCAAGAAATTGGAAAGGTACCAAATAAATGAGCTTTCAGCGCACCTCAAGGACCTAGAAAAACTGCAGCAAACCAAACCCAAATCTAGTAGGAGAAGAGAAATAATTAAAACCAGAGAAGAAATTAACAGGATTGAATCCAAAAAAAATTACAAAAAATCAGCCAAGCGAGAAGCTGGTTTTTTGAAAAAATAAACAAAATTGACACCCCATTGGCCCAACTAACTAAAAAAAGAAGAGAAAAGACCCAAATCAATAAAATCAGAGATGAAAAAGGAAACGTAACAACAGACACCACAGAAATAAAAAGAATCATCAGAAATTACTACAAGGACCTGTATGCCAGCAAACAGGAAAACCTATCAGAAATGGATAGATTCCTGGACACATGCAATCTACCAAAATTGAACCATGAAGACATCGAAAACCTAAATAGACCCATAACTGAAACAGAAATTGAAACAGTAATAAAGGCCCTCCCAACAAAGAAAAGCCCAGGACCAGATGGATTCACTGCTGAATTCTACCAGACATTTAAAGAAGAACTAATCCCATTTCTTCTCAAACTATTCAGAACAATCGAAAAAGAGGGAATCCTCCCAAATTCTTTCTATGAAGCCAGCATCACCTTAATCCCTAAGCCAGAGAAAGATGCAGCACTGAAAGAAAATTACAGACCAATATCCCTGATGAACATAGACGCAAAAATCCTCAATAAAATTCTGGCCAATAGAATACAACAACACATCAGGAAAATCATCCACCCAGAGCAAGTGGGATTCATCCCTGGTATGCAGGGATGGTTCAACATTCGCAAATCAATCAATGTGATTCACCACATTAACAGACTGCAGAAGAAAAACCATATGATTATCTCAATTGATGCAGAGAAAGCATTTGATAAAATTCAACACCCTTTCATGATGAAAACTCTAAGCAAATTGGGTATAGAAGGAACATTCCTCAATATAATCAAAGCAATTTATAAAAAACCCACAGCCAGCATCCTATTGAATGGGGAAAAGTTGGAAGCATTTCCACTGAAATCTGGCACCAGGCAGGGATGCCCACTCTCACCACTGCTATTTAACATAGTTCTGGAAGTTTTAGCCAGAGCCATCAGACAAGAAAAAGAAATCAAAGGAATACAAATCAAGAAGGAAGAAGTCAAACTATCCCTCTTTGCAGACGATATGATTCTGTACTTAGAGGATCCAAAGAACTCTACTAAGAGACTATTGGAACTCATAGAGGAGTTTGGCAAAGTGGCAGGATATAAAATCAATGCACAAAAATCAACAGCCTTTGTATACACAAGCAATGCCATGACTGAGAAAGAGCTGCTAAGATCAATCCCATTCACAATAGCTACAAAAACAATCAAATACCTTGGAATAAACTTAACCAAGGACGTTAAAGATCTCTACGATGAAAATTACAAAACCTTAAAGAAAGAAATAGAAGAGGATACCAAAAAATGGAAAAATCTTCCATGCTCATGGATTGGAAGAATCAACATCATCAAAATGTCCATTCTCCCAAAAGCAATTTATAGATTCAATGCAATCCCAATCAAGATACCAAAGACATTCTTCGCAGATCTAGAAAAAATGATGCTGAAAATCATATGGAGGCACAAGAGATCTCAAATAGCTAAAGCAATCTTGTACAACAAAAACAAAGCCGGAGGCATCACAATACCAGACTTCAGGACATACTACAGGGCAGTTGTAATCAAAACAGCATGGTACTGGTACAGAAACAGATGGATAGACCAATGGAACAGAATAGAAACACCAGAAATCAATCCCAACATCTACAGCCAACTTATATTTGATCAAGGATCTAAAACTAATTCCTGGAGCAAGGACAGTCTATTCAATAAATGGTGCTGGGAAAACTGGATTTCCACGTGCAGAAGCATGAAGCAAGACCCCTACCTTACACCTTACACAAAAATCCACTCAACATGGATTAAAGACCTAAATCTACGTCCTGACACCATTAAGTTATTAGAGAACATTGGAGAAACCCTTCAAGATATTGGCACAGGCAAAGAATTTCTGGAAAAGACCCGGGAGGCACAGACAGTCAAAGCCAAAATCAACTATTGGGATTGCATCAAATTGAGAAGTTTCTGTACTGCCAAAGAAACAGTCAGGAGAGTGAAGAGACAACCGACAGAATGGGAAAAAATATTTGCAAACTATGCAACAGATAAAGGGTTAATAACCAGAATCTACAAAGAGATCAAGAAACTCCACAAAAACAAAACCAACAACCCACTTAAGAGATGGGCCAAGGACCTCAATAGACATTTTTCAAAAGAGGAAATCCAAATGGCCAACAGGCACATGAAAAAATGTTCAAGGTCACTAGCAATCAGGGAAATGCAAATCAAAAGCACAATGAGGTTTCACCTCACCCCGGTTAGAATGGCTCACATACAGAAATCTAACAACAACAGATGCTGGCGAGGATGTGGGGAAAAAGGGACACTAACCCACTGTTGGTGGGAATGCAAACTGGTCAAGCCACTATGGAAATCAGTCTGGAGATTCCTCAGAAACCTGAATATAACCCTACCGTTCGACCCAGCCATCCCACTCCTTGGAATTTACCCAAAGGAGTTTAAATTGATAAAGAAAAAAGCGGTCTGCACCCTAATGTTTATTGCAGCACAATTCACAATAGCCAAGACCTGGAACCAACCTAAATGCCCATCAATGGTAGACTGGATAAAGAAATTATGGGATATGTATTCTTTAGAGTACTATACCGCAGTAAGAAACAACGAAATCCAGTCATTTGCAACAAAATGGAGGAATCTGGAACACATCATGCTGAGTGAAGTAAGCCAGTCCCAAAGGGACAAATACCATATGTTCTC